GAACGGATGTGATTTGATCCTGCAGCAAATCCATTCTAAAGACTTTCAATTCAATCAATGTCTTCATTTGTCAATGCCTGCTTGAAACTCCTGTCAATTAGGAAGGACTTCATTATTTCCTTTAACTTGAAGGATGACTTACCAAGATTAAACATTTCCTTCACTGAGACACAATGGTCTCCAGGTAATCCAGTGGACAGCGCTGAGTCCTGCTCTGCCTCAGGTCAGCTGTGAGACTGCAGGCTGGACAGGAAGTCAGAGGAGATCCTGGTGACTGGTGAGTCACACATCCGGGATATGTAGGTCAAGACACTTAAAACTGCTTATCCACACACACAGAAAGAGAAAAGGAAAGAACAAACAGGTGGTGATGCAGAGAGAAGAGAGTGGAACAGGCTGTGCGTGTGTCATATTTTAAGCATGCATTTTATTTGTAGTGTTTTTTTTCTACCAATTAAATAGTTTGCCTTCAATCCAGGAGAGCTGGTTTGTCATTTTTGAGCACCGTTTTTCTGCCTGTCTAAGTGAACTCTCTGTATTTGGGTCTGCTCGAATCGGGTCAACACATTTTTTGGACAAGTCTAATTACCTTTGTGTGTCTCGGGATCAGGTTCGACTCTCCTCTCTTTGCAATCTAAATGTTAGTCTCTTTTTGAAAAAAGCATTCATGCAGGTTGGTGCCTAGTTTGATTTGGTTTCTCCAAAACTCTGGATCAGTTTATTGTCTTGGTGATTGACTAATCTTCATCAAATGGGTGTTTCTTGGTACGAGCAGTGTGTGCTAAGGTAGAGAGGACGAAAAGCTTGTTTGCATCAGTAAATGTCTCCTCAGTTCTCAGGGGGATTTGAGGGGTCTCCTGCAGTGTCCTAGTGGTCAGTCACTGTGCCGTTGATGTGTGTGAGTATCAGTGCAAGTGTGGATTGTACTTCATTGTACCCTCATAGACCCACTATTGTTCCCCAATGATCACACACACACACACACACACACACACACACACACACACACACACACACACACACAGCAATAATAGATGTGTTTCTGTGTCCTGATGAAGTCAGCCACAGTGTGCATGAAGTCATCCAGCTCACAGACACCACACTCCCCTAGTAGTGGGGGGGGGGGATCATATAGCTGGGTCAGGGGCCCTCCAGATCTGTATCCTTCCACTGGATGGATGCCTGGGTACTGGCTCAGGACTTCTCAATATGTTCTGTCTCCGTTTGTATCCGTGTACAGGAAGCTGAACAGATCATTGATGTTCCAGTGGTAGTGGTTTTCCCTGCATGGGGTCAGTCAATGAACGCCTCACTTGCATAACATCATGACAGGTGTGTCCTGTCCGTTACCCTGGAGGCTCATTAGGTGCAGGATCTGCTTGGTGGTCTACATTGATATGGTTCATATTTTATGCAGATCAGAGCAGACTACATTCTGTTAAAGGCTGACAACATTAGCTTTTTAAAAAACGTATTTCCTAGTGCGGCAAACGTGTTGAATCGGCCAAAGAAAGTCGGCCAAAGAAATCACTCTGATTGGCTGTTGCCTCTTTTGAATGACGAATACACACTACCGCTACTGTAAGGACAGTTATTGCCACTCGTCGACTGAAGTCTTTGCGGTGTGTTCGTAGGCGGGCGGCGTAGGCGACGCAGGTGGGCGGCGTAGCCGACGCAGGCGACGTAGCGGACGTAAAAGTCGGGGCGCCTTCGGTACGTGTTCTTTGGTCTCAGATTGGTGTGTAGCGGCCCCTACACTCCAATCTGACACCAAAGAACACGTCCCGACGGAACCGACTGTTGTGTCGCCTCACGTTACTCCGTCACACTGGAACACACCGCAAAGACTTCAGCCGACGGCCAAGTAGCACGTACGAACTGCGCATGCGTGACTGGCAATAACTCTCCTTACCAGCAGGCGGCGGTAGTGTGTATTCGTCATTCAAAAGAGGCAACAACCGGAAGACAGACTGTGTGATAACCGAGAAGAAGAACAGACTGCGTGATATAAACAAACAACAAATAGCGTGTGCGTTTCATTTTCACTCTACAACGAGAAGCTCATGGGGCTTTCCCGAACCTGTGTCGAGAGCTGGAGTTCAATGAAATCTCAGATTTGCCTTCTTAATAGTTTGTTTGGGTCCCTCACTTCTGTTTCGCTTCTCATGCACTGATTCGCTAAGCTGAACAGCCAATCAGAGTGATTTCTTTAGCCAACGGCCTTTTACCGACAGCCTGCGGAAGGTGTCGGCACGGCCGAAAAGACACGATGGGGCGGGATACACCAATCTGAGTAGGGCGACAGGACGCTCATCGACGGCCCGACATCTATCGACATCTATCGACGGCCGAAATCGGCTTGGTGTGTAAGGACCTTAGTTGTAGAATCAGCTCCATAGCAGGCAGTGTTCCAACCAATTTATAACAAGAGATACAACAAAACCCAAAACAAATGGAATATATTTTCCTGCAGCAATATTGTGACATCGCCTAAATGGAAGGTTACAATTACTGATCTTTCAAACTGAAGTCCAGAAGACGTATCAGGGACAAACAAAGATCTGAATTGAAATGCACTTACACAGATTTCCTGATGCTCTCAGAGATTGAAAACCCTGGCTGGAGTCAGACATTTAGTCTGAAGGCAAAGAACCCCTACAGTCGTACTTTTCAAATGTCAAGTATTCATTTTCTGCTTTTCAAAAGAGCAGCTTTACGCAACAGTGCTTGACAGGAGGAATACAACTCTGGTGCTTCATTCTACTATTAAAACACACACAAACACTCATGTACACACAAAACACACAATCCCAAAGTGCATGCATAAGGTCAGAGAATAAGGTGAACAGAGCTGAGAGACGGTACGGCTGAGGTCCGGCTGCTCACATACTTCATGTATGTCTGCCAGATAAAGAGAGCAGGACAGATGGCAATCCATGGTTGTGGTTGTATTGTCTGTTTAGCTTAGGAAGGTTCCTAACGGAGTGAAATGACCCGGAAGTACCTCAGTGTCAGCCGTGATAAGAGCTATTTGAATTCTCTATAGGAAAGGATCTAACAACATCCGTTATAATCTCCTTTAGTTTAGGATACACTGGACCATCCTCTACATGCAAAACAGAACCTTTACAATCCTCCTCTAACAGTGTGTGTGTGTGTGTGTGTGTGTGTGTGTGTGTGTGTGTGTGTGTGTGTGTGTGTGTGTGTGTGTGTGTGTGTGTGTGTGTGTGTGTGTGTGTGTGTGTGTGTGTGTGTGGTCTTTGCAGACTGAGCCTCATGGCCTTAGGCGACACACTTCTTTATGGAGCATGAAGGTGAAAGAGAGAGATGCATTGTGGGGAAGGACACAGGTAGTGTTTGTCCTACACTTTAATTGTTAATGTGAGGGGATTGAAGTGGTTCCACTCCATGTTTGTAGGTTACGCTGATGGCCAAACAGCTGCTACTGTATATGTTAAGGTTGCAGTTTTTAAGGAGAACAGATGCATTTTGGGTATCTCAGTTTAGTTTGATTTAGATTGTAGATGTTCTGTAAAGTTTAAGGTGTCATGCTTTGACAGATTAATGTTGGCACAGAACACTTTGGTAGTGCACAGAATCTTCCAATATGATAGTAATTCCAAGGAACACTACCAGACTGGGTTTTTAAGATGGATACAATTATATTCTAATGTCTTTGAGATTTGGGGATGTTTTGTTCACATGCATTTCTTTGAAACATCCAGATCCTTCCAAGGTTATGCACTGAAGCAGAGAGCTTGAGTTGGGTGTTGGCTACAAACACTCAGTGCTCAGCTGGTTTTGTTGACTTGACGTCATCATCAACTTCTTTTTGTCTGTGTCTGGCTGTTTAAAAGCAGAACTCTGATTGGCTGGTACTATATTGTGCCACAGCATCCCTTATAGAGAGTGCATGTACTGTACACTGAACCAAGTTATCCTCTAACTGGTTTCAAATAAGGATCATAATGAAATCAAACCACCTAAAAAACAAGCAAAAAAGCCAATATGTCAATATGTCTTAACATTCCTTAGATTCCCGTCAGGCTGAAAAACATTCACTTTTTGAAAGTCCTGTTTGAATACTTAAAGTGTAATCTTTTAACTATACAGTAACAAACTAAAGTCACTTACACAGATATCATCCATATCTGGGATTGTTATTCTTCAGGATTGATCTTTTTTTTGGCCGTGCCCCTTCCCCACTCAATCCTCCTCATGCTTCATGCATTGTTCTGCTACCATGAACTTTCTGACCTGAAGCAGTCTGCATCTGACAGAACTGTCACTGAGGGCCAGATGCAGTTCAAACTATGATTTCTATCTATTTATTCTTTTTTTTAAACATAACGTATAATGTTGTCACAACAACATTTTTTGCTACTAATGAAGCTCTTTTAAACAAGAATTGTAGTGAGATGAACGTATGTTGTGGTGTGTGTATGAGGGGCTTCATCGTAAACTTCAACATGACATGGCGAGGAAAATAAATCCCATTATCAAGATTTATTCTTATCCTCACCCAAACCAGGAAATTCTTCAGCCAAAGGTCACTGAGAAGTTTTCATGTCGATAGATAGAATAGATGGATTGGGAGGGATGAAACCCTCTTTAATGGTCACACATGCAGAGCACACAGCTCACAGGGAAATGTGTTCTCTGCTTTGAACCCATCCTAGTACCAGGAGCCACTGCTCCTGGTACTAGGATGGGTTCAAAGGGCAGCCATTGTACTGCGCCCGGGGAGCATGTTGGTATCTACCTTGGTTAGATGTGAAACAACATTGCATTTAACATGAATGAATGACTAAAGCATGAAGAATGAGAATAACAACCCCAATAGAAATTGTAATAAATGTTTTTGGAACATATGTATCTACATTTTCTTAAGGGGAACATACAGATAGAACATAACTTGAATTGATTCTGAAAAAAGTTGTGTTATGCTGATAAATGTTAATATTTATATTGACTGTAATCTTGTTCTTCTTTCCTCACAGGAACAGATTGAACGCCTCCTCTTCCTGTGAGATCAGGTGGTCAGGTGATCAGGTTTGATCCCCTCTGCTCCCGGTCTGTTCTGATCCTGCAGTAACACAGAGAGATCCAGAAGATGGAGCGCGTCCTGTGTCTGCTGCTCCTCAGCTCAGCAGCTCTGAAGGAGGCTGCTGGTAGGTTCCTCTTAAAACACACACACACACACACACACACACACACACACACACACACACACACACACACACACACACACACACACACTCACACACACACATGCTTATCCATGTGGGTTTTCAGACTGATAGCATATCCAGAGTTGGTGTTGATGATTGCATTAGAACTAAGTTTAGGCTAAGGGACGATTGAAGTTTTAGGGTGATTTAGGATTGGATCTTCGGTTCAGGATTGAATTAGGAACTGAGTAGGTGTCCATCTGTGTGCTAAATATGTTACCACCATAACGTTTCTGTCAAAATCTGACAAATTAATAAATGTACTGTTGAAACAGTTATTTTATGTATTAATTTGAGAAATGTTACCCTTTCCTCATTGGTCTACTCTAGAGAGTTCTGATGTTGTCATGCAAAATTGAAATGCGAATGAAAACAGGTGGAGAGAAACACACATCGAGAGTCTTACTATAGGGCAGCAAACTGACTTCATGCAACATGTAACATGCTAAAGGGGTTCAATACCAAATGCTTGCTCATTTTACGTCTTCGCAGGTGAAATGATATATAGATAAAGGACCATTTACATACAAATCTGAAATACCTTTTTATTCTTTATTGAATAAATGTGTCCTTAGCTCACCTGTGAGAAATCTTTATCTGTCTTCACACACTGTTGTTTTCAGGTGGGGACGTGTGTGTGTCGGGTCACGACAGTGGGCCAGTGTTTGAAGATCAGCCGAATGGTTTAATCTACCCCGAGGGTCTGAGTGAAGGCAAGGTGACCCTCAGCTGTCAGGCCAGAGCCAGCCCAGCTGCCTCCTACAGGTAACACACACACACACACACACACACACACACACACACACACACACACACACACACACACACACACACACACACACACACACTCACACACACACACACACACACACACACACACACACACACACACACACACACACACACACATACATTGATGGACCAGTTCCCCCAAACCTGCCTACGATATGGTAAATACCAGTGAACTTCACTAAAGTCACATGATATCCACGTTTACAAGTTGTGATACTGTAATTCAGCACAACTAGGACCACTGGAAAATAAAGTAACTGAACATTTAATAGTCTTTTCATGTAAACAACCTAACAGTGTTGATCAGCAAAACCCTGATAAAGGTAATCAGAAGGTCAACATGGATCACACAAAGCATTACAAATAGACATTTAGTCTACAGCAGGATACTGTGTGATACTGATGTCTGACACAGCTGATACAGACTCTGAAACAATGTTGACCCTTCTTTCTCTGTGGTTTCACCCATGACACAGACATGATACAGCAGTGCACACTGTCTACTTTTATGTAAATCAATCGGTATTGTGAACAGCTACACTGGAGAGTAAAACAGGTCATTATTTCATATATTTGAACATATGAATATGTAAAGCATATTTTGGGTTACAATTGGGGAGTTTAGATAAAGTACAAAGGGGTGAACATATAAAGAACATTCACAAAAGAGTGAATGTTGTGCAGATTTTTTGACATACCTGTAAACATATAACATTGTTCTGTTTTCAATCTATTTTTTTTGTATGTTTGATTGTTACACAGCTTTAGTTTGGCATTTCAAATGTAATTAGGGCTGCTTAGAGAAGCTTAATAACTCTTAATGGCATATCATTGAGCTGACACGACAGAGCTTGTCCACTATGTTTATTATGTCCTGTTCCCTGCTTTTTGCCTTGCAGGTGGCTTGTGAATGGCACAGAGGTGCCGCTGGGTTTGGACCTGCGTTACAGCCTGGTGGCGGGCAGCCTGGTGATCAGCAGCCCGGAGTCTGGGCGAGACACCGGCTCCTATCAGTGTCTGGCCATCAACCGCTGCGGCACCATCATCAGCCGGGCAGCTAACCTCAAGTTTGGCTGTGAGTGAAAACAATGAGGCTGTTGACCTTCGACCTGTTGGAGACAATGAGAGGGCAGAGAGAGAAGGCCTAAGATAGGCCACTGTGAACTTTGCTGCTTCTGTTAGGATTTGTGATCAATATTTGTTTCCATAACTTTTTTCTTTTCTTTGCATGTGTCTCTAGACCTCCATGACTTCCCTCCGGACAGCAGGAGTCCTCAGACAGCGTATGAAGGAGTAGGAACCTTCCTGGCCTGCCAGCCCCCGACACATTACCCAGGTACCCCCTCTGCCTCCAGCTGATAAGGAAGGGTCAAAGGTTACAGTGTTGTAAATGAGCAGAATGATCAACCTATTTTGCGATACTGTCGAATGTGAAACTAAATGGTTATTGAAATCTGAGCGCTAGTTATTGTAATTACTTATGTGTTGCAACCTGTCCCCCCCCCCAGCTCTGTCCTACCGCTGGTTAATCAACGAGTTTCCCAACTTCATCAAGAAGGACGACGGCCGCTGGTTTGTGTCGCAGGTCACAGGAAACCTGTACCTGGCTAAAGCAGAGCCCAACGACACCGGGAACTACTTCTGCTTCACCACCATCAACATGGACATCAGCACCAAGAGCACCTTCAGCAAGGCCAACCTGCTCACCGTGCTGCCAGACGGTAGGAACAGAGAACTGATGATTCAGTGTGACCATACAGAGACCAGAGAGGGGTATATCTGTGTTGGAAATGCATTGATAACCTGTCTCAAGGTAGTAACTGAGTTATATAGTAACCCACTGGTTTGTTATTAGGCCTGGTTATCTGACTTTGAGGTTTGAACACTGATTCTAATGTCATACCTCAGGTTCGATTTTCCAAATACATTTTGGGGGAAAATACATAGAAATGGCCAACACGGCGATGGCGAGGCGATGTCCCTAGTGGACTGTGTTTGAAAATATTACATTACAGTAGGGAGTGCATATTTCCCAATGCAGTTGTGTATATAGGCCTAATCTGAATGGAATTTAAACTCGATGTTTACAAATGTATTTTATTTCAGCCACTCCCAGGAAGTCAGCTCCGATCATCAAGGTGCGCTTCCCTGCAGAGACCTACGCCCTGGCAGGACACACCACGCAGCTAGAATGCTACGCCTACGGAAAGTAAGGTTACAACTCACTGAGATGTGCTGACAGCTCTGTATGGTTGAGCAGCTGTTCCTGTCGAGCTTTAATAGGTTTTACTTTTGACTTGTACTTCGTTCTTTCAAACTCTTTCGTACTCTACACCAGCTGCTCCCTATGCTGTTCCATTTTGAAAATACCATTCTTCCATTTCTTCCGCTGAACTCCTCCCTCTATTTGATGTCTCATAGTCCGGTCCCTAAACTGCGCTGGAGGAAGGTTGACGGTTTGATGCCGTCCAAGGCAGGCTCCAGTGTGGAGGGCCCCGCCCTCATCCTGCCAGATCTATCCTTCGATGATGAAGGTGTTTACGAGTGTGAAGCCTACAACTCAGAGGGAAGAGACATGTACCAGGGACGCATCAATGTGCAGGGTAAAGAGAAGATCCTTCATGAACATATATTTGTTTAGCAGCAAAGATTTTGAATCAGGTTGATCAGGGATGTTTTGACGTTAATTTGACCGCAGTCTCAAATGTTGGTCGGAATGGTAAATAAACATCATGGTGAATTGAATGTAAAAGTGGGTGGGTGTATTAGATGTAATTTTTACCTTCTATGATCACTTCAGTTTCTTAAAGGTCCCATGTCATGGCCATCTCTACTGATCATAATTCCATTGTTGAGGTCTACTAGAATAGATTTACATTGTTCAATGTTCCAAACTCACATTGGTTTCTCATACAGCATCTCTGTATAGTATGTGTATTCACTCTCTGTCCGACACGCCTTGTTGGAGCTCCTGCCCTCCTCCCTATGAGCCCACTGTGCTCTGATTGGTCAGCTCGCCCACTCTGTTCTAATGAGACCACCACCGTTACAGCGGAACATCAGTGATTATATGTTACAATGGCGTTAGCAACCAGAAAATGACACCAGTAATGACAAACAGAGGAGAATGCTGCGTTGGGTCTGGGTGCCGTGTTGGCGGGACGTTGCGGGGCTCGCTGCTGCGAGGAGCGGACAGTGTGAGCTGTGTTACTGGTGTCGTTTCCTGGTTGCTGCGTTAGGTCTGCGAGACTCAGGCTGAGTTCAGGCTGAGAAATCCGCGGAGCCGCAGCTGAGAAAAGAAAAGCCTGAGTGAGTATGTGTGTGTGAGGAGTTACGTCACTATGCCCGTTTACGTCACTTTACTCAGGAAGAAAACAATGGAAAAAGAGAAATCTCCAACGAGGCGTTCTGGGGCAGCAGACAGGTATTTTCTGTGTTAGAGTTTTACTCGCTACAGGGTGTACTTTGAGGGTTTGTGACTCTGCAGACCGTTTACATGCAGAAAAAGCTACATAACACACAAGGGGACGGTAATAACCGGAAAAGCATGACATGGGCCCTTTAAAGCAGTTCTCTTCGTTGCATGCCATCTCCTGCCTCAGTTTGACCTCTGTTGTTCCCTGACCCTCAGCCCAGCCGGACTGGTTGCAGGTGATGATCGACTCGGAGGTGGAGATCAGCTCGGAGCTCCTGTGGAGTTGTGTTGCTTCGGGTAAACCACGACCCTCCATACGCTGGCTCCGCAACGCACTGCCACTCAGCACACAGGTAACACACACAGCACAGTGAGAATACACCACACACAAAGTGATGGAAACTAGCATGTCTGTTTTTATATTTACCGTGACACTGATAGTCAATGCTCAATCACTGAAGAGTGTAAATGTCCAAAGTTCTTGTTCTTTTACTTGATTTCTCTGTAACGGTAACACTTGTCAATCCAAAGAAATATATTTAGCCAATAAAAGGTCTGAAATGTGTTATAAAACAAAGGGAATCCACTTCTCTTCCACCTTTTATATAATATATATATTTATATATAATATAATAATTGTAAGTGTTTGTTAGATGCTGCTGCAAAACATATTCAAGTTGTTCAAGTGTAAATTAGTCTTGTATCTTAATTCACATTTATGAGTATAATGTGGTGAATGAGAACACACATAATAATAACAGATTTATTTTGTTAGTGCTTTTACAGGTGCTCAAAGTCGCTTTACAGAGATAGGGAAAAAACAAAAAAACAAAAAAAACATGATTGATCTAGATTCATATGGATTTGTCTTGCCTATGACATGATTTATTTTGTAGCAGTGTGATGCCTCATGCACACAGGAATGTTCTCCAAGATCACATCACCATGTGGTTAGTGAAAACCAGTGTCATCTGTCCCATGTGAATATGCCACTCAGAAAGAGGACATACAATATTAAAATATTAATGAGGGCCGTGAAATTATTTGTGTATATATATATATAAATATTCAGGAAACTTACCAGGCTGCGTAGTATAGAGACTTTAACTGAGGATAAAACCATAACAGGTGGAGAGTAAAGGTGAACAGAGTTTAAACTCCCCCACAGCACAGCACACACAAGCTTTGTGTCACAGCTGACACATCCTTCTTACCTCCCTTCACTCTATTCCCTTTCTACCTCACACTTTTCCCTACGCCCCCCCACAGGACCGGGTAGAGGTGAACGGGGCTCGTCTGAAGATCAGTAACCTGGCCCTGGAGGATTCTGGGATGTATCAGTGTGTGGCTGAGAACAAACATGGCACCATCTACTCTACTGCTGAGCTCAGGGTTCAGGGTAGGGAGTCCAAATGCTGTAGTTCCTCTTAAGATCCTACAATACAATATAACAAGGCTTAACTATTCCATAATGACATGTCTCAGTGAAAGAACAATATAACTTGTAAAACCATTAAACATTCACATCTATCAGCAAAGCCCCTGTCACACTGTCCCGAAATTGACACGAGATGGACACACGATAAAGGAAATGTTCAAATTCGGCTCTGATCGTAACAACATCGGGTCATTCGTGAGGGCATCTTAAGCCATCGTATGACCGCTGGTGGAGTTTCTCAGGCTCTGATGAAAATGCCCGATGGCACCAGACGAAGATGACACGATTTGACAAGATGCCCTCACGGGTGCCCAGGGCCAGCCCTAGACTTTTGGGGGCCCTAAGCGAGCTTTGGCTTGGGGCCCCCCTCACTCTAGCACGTTCTCACTACACACAACACGGAACCAACTTTTGTCTTATGATGTAAGCATAAGCACACATATTGTATAAATAAGCATGTAAACACCATGGACCTAACCTCCTCTAAGGGGGTCCTCACCTCATCTAGGGGGGTCCGGGGGCATGCTCCCCCGTGAATTTTTGTTTTAAAATATTGAAGTTAAAAGCATCAATCTGGTGCACTTTGAGAGCAACATTAAGAGATCTATGGATACATCTCTCGACACCCATATGAAACAGAACTGTAAGCAGATGTTTCTTTATGGATATTTTACAAATCACTTAAACTGTATTCTTGTTTTGTCATATAGTATTTCATAACTGTTTTTCATTCATTCTCTCTGGCTGTCCATCTCATAATGTTCACATAGAAACTAGCTGTCAATAGGAATATCATTCAGAAGAATTATAATTTCTTGTCATTGGCCAAACAGCCACATTTACTGCTGCAAATACGTAGCTGTCGACACGTAAAGCAGTGGCAACTATGCCCCCATTTCAGCTGACTTTTTCTCAGAAATACTGTCACATAACATCCATATATTTCAGTGCTAGGTTGATGCTTAGCTAAGCTAACTATGAAACACTTTAACTGACAGGACTCCGGATCAACTGTGTACTGTAAGGTAGCTTCTAGCTTCATGTCGAACAGTAAGTCAACATTTCCCAGAGAGCTTTCTTTGAAATCACCAGGTAACGCTAAAAAACATTACATTTAGATTGTATGACAAAGTGTTTATTTAATATATCTGGCTAGCTATAGCTACTTGCTAACGGTTTAGCTTACCCCCGCGATTCAAAGTAACGTCAACGTAGCTGTAATTTATGCTTTGCTTACATGTTTGCATAACTTGGAAGTTTACTTACATTTACATACCTTGTTTACCTGGCTCAAGTGGTGGCTCTGGGGTTGTTGTGTGAGCCACCACTTGAGAATTATCGTATTTTTTAAGAAATTGTTTTCTTATGTCCATCTTCAAAAACTCTGAGTCCGATTGACAGTTTATTTTAAACATTGTCACAGCTCACAGGATAGGTACCTGTCAGCCAATAAGACAGATGTTTATTTCCATTCAACTCTCTGGTTGGTCTGGTGTCTGGCCTCTGTTGCATTCACTGAACACGGGAAATTACAATCCTGCCGTCCTCTCTAGTGTCATGATGAGGTTCAGGTAAAGCACGGTTAATGTATTATATGATTGACTCAATAATATAATACATGACTTTGAGAGTAGGCACTCTAGGCATATTAACACAATTAATTAAACATACTTATCACGACGCCGGTGTACTGAGATTTTATTTAATTTTTTCATATTTTTAGTGGCTGCGGGGGCCTAAGCGGCCGCTTATGTCGCTTAATGGGTTCGGGCCGGCTCTGCGGGTGCCTTATGAAGGGCAAAATGGACACCCAAATTCAACATGAAAATGAACCTTCTCAAGGTCCTTCGGCTATTTTTTGGCTTGCCAAAGATTTTGCCACCGCTCGCGAAATTGCTGCCGGAGCCTGAGAAACTCCACCGGCGGTCATATGATGGCTTAAGATGCCCTCACGAATGGCCCGATGTTGTTACGATCAGAGCCGAATTTGAACATTTCCTTTATCGTGTGTCCATCGGGTTGTTTTATTGCACAACAAAATCATGTAAACATATTATGTAAATAACCCAATTTGTGTTCTGTGAAACTGAAAAGGATATTACTTTGTTTTTGTTACTTTCGTTGCAGTTTTATGTCTTAAATGTAATTTAGGTTAACTTCCTGTTTTATTTAGATGCTTTTATTTTGAAGGCGAGTTGACAGGAAGTTGTTGTTGCTATGGAAACAACATGACGGAGAAAACGTAATATCTTCTACATATAAAGACGGAGAAAGTAAAGAACAAAGTCTGAAAATATCAGTACAGTATCATAGTACTTTAACATAATTGTTTTTGTTACTTTCGTTGCAGTTCTATATCTTAAATGTAATGTAAATGTTGCCTTCGTGTGGTTCGTGGCCATCTTCGTGCGAAATTCACAATTCCATATTCGTGTGTCCATCTGGTGTCAATTTCAGGACAGTGTGACAGGGGCTTAAAGAACATACATTCTCCTCTACAAAGCTTCCTTGGATTTATGAAAGTCTAACTTTAATATCATATACGTCTTTGTTGTTGCGCCCCCCCCCCTCACTGCTGTCCTCACAGTTCAGGCCCCAGACTTCAGGTTGAACCCAGTGAGGAGACTGATCCCAGCAGCCAGGGGGGGGCAGGTGATGATGGAGTGTCGCCCCCGAGCCGCCCCCAAACCCAGCCTGTTCTGGAGCCGAGGGACGGAGCTGCTGATCAACAGCAGCAGGTACACCACCTCATCCTCAGTAAATACATACACACTGCATCACTCTAACGTAGCTCTAAACCAGTGGTAACCAACCTTTTCAAGCCCAAGATCACTTTTTATTCCAAAATGTAAACCGAGATCTACCAATCCGATATCTTCCAAAAAACCCACTTAGGAGTAAGACTATTCATCATCATATTTATTTTTGCAATCAATTTATGTTACAACAGGCTCAATGTACATACAGATGCAAACAAATAAAGACACAGTTATGCACAGTTATCTGTGCAATGTACAATATTCATATTTACGGTAGGCATATCTGTTCACTACAAACTATTCATATTTACAGTATCTGTTCAATGCACTATATTTAGTTTCTCAGTTCAATTAGTAATATTCACATGTACAGATATTAGCCTACAGTTCAATGTAATCCATATTAAGTTGCTCTGTTCAATGCACAATATATTTTCAATGCTCAAGTTGCTCTATCAGCCTGCCTTTAATGAGACTGCTGTGACTGCACATTATCTGTAAGCCTTTTGAAATCTGGCTGATAGTTAGTGATTGCCAGCCGGAGGCAGTCAGTAAGATGTGCGTCAGTCATACGAGTTCTATACTTGGATTTAATTATTTTCATTTGTGAAAAGGCCGTTTCACATAAGTATGTGGAGCCAAAGTAGGCCTTCAGTTTAAGCGCACATGACACAATCAGTGGATACCTCTCTCAACTCACGAGTGACCAAAAGTCCTGATCTCTTGCTCTGGCCTTCAATTCAATGTCACTTTGCATTTCAATGATCTCCATGTCAACACCCATAGGTAATGTAAACACCTCCTGCATTTTAGCTGGCAGCTGTTCAATGTCAATGCTGAGGAAAGGGTTTGATACAAAACCCACTACTTGCCCCATGTCTCGTAGCTCCACAAATCGAGCACCAAATTCTGATGTCATTTTGTTCAAATGGGCGCAGAATTGTTCAGGATGGAAAGCAGTTTTGTCTGTGAGGTTTTGTGACACCTTTTCGAGATTTGGGAAGTGTGTCAGCCTCGCATGTCTTAACTGAGTGGTCCACAAACTGAGCTTCACTTTGAATGCCTCCACTGCGCTAATCATGTGACCAAGCTCTCGGTCTTTCCCTTGCAATTCTCGGTTAAGGTCATTGAGTTTTGCAGTCAGATCGGTAAGGAACCCCAAGTCCAATAACCAGGTATCGTCGGACAGCTGCTCATACTCCTCGTTCCTCGACTTCAGAAAACTGATGATCTCTGGCAGCAAATCCAGAAAACGCTGGAGCACCTTGCCCCGACTGAGCCACCTTCTGCGTGAAGGATCAAATCTCCATACACAGAGTCCAGCTCGTCTAATAAAGACTTAAATAGCCGGTGCTGGAGTGCTTTTGCGCGAATTGAATTGACAATCTTAACAACAACATTCATTACATGTGACATGTCAATTGCTTTAGCTGCCAATGCCTGTTGATGTATCACACAGTGATAGTTTACAAATGGTGGAAAGTCTGAGTCTTTTCTGCACAGCGCAATAAATCCTGAACGAACACCGAGCATCGCTGGTGCCCCATCGGTTGTGAAGGACACTATTTTATGAATGGGAATCTTGTACTGACGAACATAGTCCTTGAATGCCTTGTACACATCCTCACCCCTGGTTCTTTCTTTCAATGGGATAAGGGCAAGAAAGGCCTCCTTGACAGTAAAATCCGTGAAAACCATCCGGACAAACACACCTAGCTGGGCTGTGTCTGTGGCATCGGTAGACTCGTCAAATTGAACTGAAAAGTATTCCGAGAGAGACAAGTCTTTTAATACTTGCTAGGATACATCTTCGGACAATGACTGGACTCTTCTGGCTACAGTAGGTGCACCAAGTGGGACACTTTTTATCCTTGCTTTTATGTCCTCTTTGTTTTTGAAATCCGCAAACAAGACGTCAGCTGTGGCGCTCATTGCTTCTTTAATCATCTCACCATCCGTAAATGGTTTTTTGTGCTGAGCCAAAATATGGCTAATCAATCCGGAGGGACGTTTCTGTAGCTGCATTGCTCTTTGATGTAGGCGCGATGAAAAGCGACTGCTGTGCTTTTAGTCCTCTTTTCAGTTCATCAATTATTTTGGTTCTTAATGCGCTGTTGAGTGGATATGAGTCTTTGAATTTACCATGGGTGCTCGCATGATGGCGCTCCAGGTTGCCCCGTTTCGCCAAGGCTACTGCCTGTTGGCATATGAGGCATACAGTCTTCTCTTTCGCTGATGTGAAAATAAATTCATGCTCCCATTCCGGGTGGAAATAATACATTTTTGATTTATTTTTCGCCGGACCCTCAGCCATATCGATGTTGGTTAAAGATTAGCAGAACTTGTTACAGAAGAAGTTACTCCTCAAGATGCCCGTTAAGATACGATTTTTAACCCCACCCACAATTGCATGCAGCAATTCATAGACGTCAGCATATCTAATAACCAATTGGAGTTTGTAAAATGACCTGTGCGTGATTCAAAACAACAAACCAGAGCTAGGTCTAAAAAGTGTGTTTAAACAACCAACCAACCAGAGCATGAACATTTTCTTTTTTTTTGGAAAATATTTTTTCTTTGGAAAATATTATTATTATTATTTTTAAATGCTAGGGATCGACAGTGAAGGCTTTGAAGATCGACCAGTCGATCGCGATCGACCTGTTGGTTACCCCTGCTCTAAACTCTTAATAAAGGGCAGCAGCATTATTATGGGCTGGACAACTTTTCCATTGTGCTATTTTGTACTGTTCTCTAACGAAGGGTTAGTGGACACTTAGAGAAGCCTAAATATAGCTCACAGTAAACACAGATCCTAAAGTGCCTGAAACATGCTAATGTCTCAGTGGTCCCCATGATGGGTGGAAGATGGGTGTGTAGAATAACCTCACACAGGAGCCTGAAAAGCATTCACATATGTAAAATAGTTGAAGCATTTTGAAACCTAACTCATTATTATGAAATGTTATGACATCACTCCATAATAACATTTCTTCAACAGTCATTTATTCACTATGGCAGTTTTCCCAACAACACATTTCATGCTCCACCCTCTTTCCTTTCAGCCAATCCACACCTCTTCCGCTCTAAAACTAGCAAGGCAAGGCAAGTTTATTAATATAGCACCTTTCAACACAAGGCAATTCAAAGTGCTTTACAAAAATTAAAGATATTATGATCATTAAGAAATAGTGCAAGCTCCACAACTGCTAACAAACTCAGCCAGTGCTCCTGCTAGCCAGAGTAACACGAACGCTCAGGTTGTTCTGAATCCGCTCATTACAGTTGCTTTAGATAATCACTTACACGGATAAGATGGGAATACAACCACTGTCCACTGTCAGTACCATTCCTTAAAGTTAATTGTAATGTTTTACAGATGCAGCTTATTCAACACAAACTGCCATAACTGTATATTAATAACACACTTACAAGGCTGCACATATCAACTTGAAACAAACATATTTTATACTTTATTTTTGCATTTTTGTCCTACTAAGACAATATCGGGTGCAAGACATATTCTTTCTAGGTGCAGTCTCATAAAGCATTGAGTTTGCCTCACTTGTGTTAATACAGATGAAAAATGGCTTATGATGCTGTATGTGTCCTATATAAATAATGTACTGATATATCAGATGACACTACATTCTCCTGATAGTGTGATCATTGCAGAAGTCTCACCCTGCTCCAAAATAAATCAACACAATCCCCCGTCCGATCCAAGTGGAAGGAGTTCCAATAATGTCATAATCTTCAGGGTAAGATGCAGCTCATTGAAAGAGAACTGTAACTTATGAGAAATTCAGAAAAAAACAAGATGTTGACATGTAGGTGAGATCAAAAGCAATTCTCCACAGTTTAGTGTATGAGTTGGATGATGTATTGCTTTTGATTTCATCACATTCTATCAAAGCATCATGACAAATGAATCAAAAACATCGTCTTACTAATTAAGACAGATATGAGTCAAAGTTTAAGATAATCACAATCAAAAGCATCAACATCCAAAATATTTCCCAGTCCTAAACCTAAATAGATTAGATTAGAAAATACTTTATTTTAAATGCACATAGTACATTGAAAGAAAGTGTTCATCCAACCAGAAAGTACAAAGAGTAGTTCAAGTGGTTGTGGTTACATTACATTCACATATATGGTTACAGTATCAAAGTTGTTGCATATGTGAGGCAAGGTACAGACAGATTTGTATAAAATGAAATACACATTTACAGATAAGGTGCAGGGTTTACAAATATATAAGTTACATACAGTTGTAAAACAAACAAAAAAACACTGGAGGGGCTGACCCCTGTGTACATGTTGACCCGCCTGTGAATGAATCATTGTTTTAGTTGTGTTGACATAATAAACGGTGTATTTGTGTGTTCTCTGGGATGTGCATTTTGCTAAATTGTCTGTATGCTGTATACTGTATATAAGTGATTAGATGATCCTCTACCAAATGTCAGTTGTTTGACATCCTGTATAAGGGTTAAAGCATTCTAAATAGTGTGGATGACACTACTTACTTTGTGTGAGTTACACCATCCTCTTTAAGTACAAACACATCCGTCATTCAATCAGTCATTCAGTCATCCAGTCATTCAGTAATCCAGTCATCCAGTCAGTCATCCAGTCATTCAGTCATTCAGTCATTCAGTCATCCAGTAATTCAGTCATTCAGTCAGTCATCCAGTCATTCAGTCATTCAGTCATCCAGTCATTCAGTCATTCAGTCATCCAGTCAGTTATCCAGTCATTTAGTCATTCCGTCAGTCATCCAGTCATTCAGTCATTCTGTCAGTCATCTAGTCATCCAGTCATTCAGTCATTCCGTCATCCAGTCAGTTATCCAGTCATTCAGTCATCCAGTCATCCAGTCATTCAGACATCCAGTCATTCAGTCATCCAGTCATCCAGTCAGTCATCCAGTCATTCACTCATTCTGTCAGTCATCCAGTCATCCAGTCATTCCGTCAGTCATCCAGTCAGTCATCCAGTCATCCTGTCATCCAGTAATCCAGTCATCCAGTCAGTCATCCAGTCATTCACTCATTCTGTCAGTCATCCAGTCATCCTGTCATCCAGTCATTCCGTCAGTCATTCAGTCATTCAGTCATTCCGTCATCCAGTCATTCACTCATTCTGTCAGTCATCCAGTCATTCAGTCAGTTATCCAGTCATTTAGTCATTCCGTCAGTCATCCAGTCATTCAGTCATTCTGTCAGTCATCTAGTCATCCAGTCATTCCGTCATCCAGTCAGTCATCCAGTCATTCAGTCATTCTGTCAGTCATCTAGTCATCCAGTCATTCAGTCATTCAGACATCAAGTCATTCAGACATCCAGTCATTCAGTCATTCAGTCATCCAGTCAGTCATTCACTCATTCTGTCAGTCATCAGTCATCCTGTCATCCAGTAATCCAGTCAGTCATCCAGTAATCCAGTCATCCAGTCAGTCATCCTGTCATCCAGTAATCCAGTCATTCAGTCAGTCATCCAGTCATTCACTCATTCTGTCAGTCATCCTGTCATTCAGTCATTCCGTCTGTGATCTAGTCATTCAGTCATCCAGTCATTCACTCATTCTGTCATTCAGTCATTCCGTCTGTGATCTAGTCATTCAGTCATCCAGTCATTCACTCATTCGCTCAGCTAAGATGAGCAGCTGTTCCTGGGTCTGTCAGTCTGTTGGTTTTGGGTTTGAGGTTATCAGTGAACAGGAGATGTGTCTGCCAGAGGATGATGCTATGATGATCTGCCTTGACATTACCTGATACAGATTGTAGTGTTTACGATTGACATACTTTTCATACTTATGCTTGTGTGTCCTCAGAGTCACAGTCACTCCAGACGGCATCTTATGGATCCACAACATCAGCAGGGCAGACGAAGGGAAATACACCTGCTTTGCTGAAAACTACCTGGGCAAAGCCAACAGCACCGGACACCTGTCTGTCAGAGGTACACACACACACACACACACACACACACACACACACACACACACACACACACACGCACATGCACACGCACACGCACACGCACACACACACACACACACACACACACACACACACGCACACGCGCACACACACACACACACACACACACACACACACACACACACACACACACACACACACACACACACACACACACACACACACACACCCAGTACACTGCAATGGCAATATCCTTGTCATCTGAAAACTGCAACAAAGCAATAAAATAAAGCTTGAAATGTCAGCTCTGAGCAGTGTTGACATGTTCCTCTTCAAATATAAATATATATAAATAGTATAACACTAATTATTCCAAGACCAATAAAGGCCCATATTCAATATTGGCTTATTTGCTTATTGCAGGTATCATATTTGATGTATAGGGCAAATAACTGGGTCATTTATTTGCCATACTGTATACAGTACATTGATTATGATATCTGCAAAAACACATATTTTGAAAAATGTGGCTGTTTTTTTAAAGTGTGAAATCTGTTATACTTTTGGAAATACAATTCTATAGTAAAGGAATTAATATGATATTAATAAAAACAAAAACACGTCTGTGTTTTACACATTGGGACATTATGTTAGACATATAAGGTATTACATTCAAGTTGTGTTATTTATCTTTATACATGTATACGTCAAAGAGACATTTTAGTCTGATACTAATAACGTCAACAATGTATTTTTCACAAAACAAATACATATTTATATCAAAATCTGTCTTTCTATATCGTTTTTGGCATGAAGTTACAAGTTATTAAAAACACTCCTAACAGTTTATAAAAGGTTTATGTTATATCCACCAATTGAAAACTCATTTTCAACAAGTTTCTGTGACCAGTTGTATCTGACGTAGCTTTTATTTTGGTCCCTTCCAGATGCCACTAAGATCACGCTGGCCCCCTCCAACGCTGACATCAACCAAGGGGACAACGTGACGCTGCAGTGCCACGCCTCCCACGACCCCACCATGGACCTGACCTTCACCTGGGCCCTCAACGGGGGCCTGCTGGACCTGGAGGACTCGGCCGGGCCCTACAGCAGGGTGGAGGGGGTGAGTCCTGGGGGCCAGGAGAGAAGCTGCTGGGAGGGTGGAGCTCTGGAAGACCTGCCCTAACATTCTACCAGAGCTCTAATATAGTGTTGGTTCAAATATTGGTTGGGGGGGTTTATGTAGGAGTAGAGAGCATGTGATGGATAAACACTGTGTGATGGACCCTCATTAGTTACACAAAGGCTACAAAACACACTAAAAGGACTGAAAGGTTGACTATAATTGTATTTATATATATATTACGGTGGCCGGCAGGTGCAAACGCGGAACAACGGCCAAAAACGCATTCATTAGCAGGAAACAGCTGCAAATCCTGAAATGAAAAACAACCAAATCCTGAAAACAAATCCAACCAAAAAACGCTGCATTTACAGAAATGATGCAAACTAAATACAACACACAAACCCCGAAAACAAACGCAACAAATAAACACTGCAAATACCAAAACGATATGCAAAGTCCAAAGCACATACAAACCATTCCGGAAGGGCTCAGGCCTCTAGGGGGCGCGCTACGTGGAACAGATTGATGTATGACCAGATATTTTTATATATATATAAAAATATCTCTCTAAACACAAGTTTGGACACACAGTCCTCACGCTAAAGCCTGGAGGACATATCTAATATACACACCAGCTTTCCCAGCGTTTTCACCTACAGTGAGACCACGCCACTACAGCACACTACAGGAGTTCTCCAGCTGTAATAAGTCTATTCCAGGCGACAGGTTGGACATTTCTCAGTGCCTGAACACACATCCTGGCAGAAATAAGCTCCTAATTGGAATTAGCTATCCATATTACCTCCCTGTTTCTTTCTTTGGAACTGTTGCATTGTTGATGTGATGAGACGCAGCTGGAATGAGCTCCTTCACCTCTGCAGCATGTGTTGTCTTCTGTCTGTTGTTCTCCTGACTCACACACTGTTTAACTCTTTGTTTGATCCCACTGTGTGGCCTTGCAGAAAGAGAACATAGGAGACCTGCTGATAGTGAACACTCAGCTGAGTCAGGCAGGGATGTACGCGTGCACGTCTCAGACGGTGGTGGACAGCGCTTCAGCTGCAGCCAAACTGGTGGTGCGAGGTGAGAAAGAAACGTTAAGCCAAAGAAATGAATGTCAAAGTGAGGCTTCACTGCAGAATACAGGGAAAAGATCATGGACACAAGTCAGAGAAAGCATGTCATTGGAACCAGCTCTCTCTAATGTGGAATCTAATGTTACTTACTGATAGCCTCTTTTAATACAGAATATGTATATGTAATGTGTTGTTGAGCAGTCTTTTAGAGTCTGTCGGAAATCAGCCGATCTACCTGAGAGACTCCCAGGCTGCGTAGTGCTGCCATCACTTCCTGTTTAGTTTGAGATAACAACATAGTTCTCTTTGAGCTGTTGATAAAACTACTTCAGAGTATAGAGAATACAGACATGTTTGCATTACTCTTTGTTGAGGACAAACAGTGTCAGCAGCAATAGCGTTACAGGTGATCCAATGTTTGATTTGATTTGCATTTCAAGAAATTATTGATTACAAGGCATACAAAATAAACACTTAAATACATACAAATACTACATAACAATAAAAAAATCCGGTCAAGAGAATAATAAAGACAATAAAAAAGGATATATATATATATATTCCCTCTGGAACTCCCTTCCACAACACATCAGAGACTGCACCGATCCCCCCACTTTCAAAACACGGACCAAAACACACCTCTTCAGACTGGCTTTTCATTTGTGAATTATGCTGTGTTGCTGTTTTAATATTTATTTATTTTTTATTTCTATTATTTATTCTATTTTATCATGTTTTATCAAACCACTGTAAAGCGTCTTTGAGCACCTGGAAAAGCGCTTTGAAATCCAAATGTATTATTATTATATATAAAGCTTTTTTCCCATCTTTACTCTAAGATATGGCATGGTTCATTTTTCCATTTGATAAATGTTATGCATTTACTAGATTCTTCCATTGTGAGTTAATTCAATTATTATCTTCAACCAACTCCTTGTAATTGATTTAATTATTGCTATTCTTATAACGAAAAATACGTAGGAATCTTTTTTGTTATTTCCTCTGATGTTTTTAGTACGGTATTAATAGGTAATAGGTGATGAATTTGTTAATACATCATTTGATAGTTTTAACTGTGTCAAAAAGTCCCACTTTACTAAGCTATGTAGGGCAGACACTATCTCAGTTGTCAGGAGAGATCTCATCACTATACAATCAGAAAATATTGGTGTCTGTAAATGCTACTAGTATACAAACTGTAGTATCATATAATGTCCTTTGTTTTCTGTCATGTTTGTATTAATGTTTGGAACTAATTGAAGCAGGTCACCATTGTAAAAGAGGTCTATGATCTCAATGGGTTTTATCTGTATAAATAAAGGTTTTGAATTGAATTGAATTGAATCACATGAGCTGAAGTGAGAATCTGCTAAATGGCTTGCAAATCAATCCGATAATTAAGTGAAGAGTAAAACATGTCTTACTAAATGTATAAAAGGTCTCCCTAGAGGAACATCCTGTGAAGTCAATCACAGCTGCAGTAAGTGTTTGGTTTAACCACAGTTTATTCTCTGAAAGAAAGTGGCGTTTGAGCTTTCCAGTTTTACAGTGTAGATGTTCTACACTGCTCTTCTGCTGTGCGATGATCTGCTGCTCCACATGATCCATGTGTCAGAGAGCACTGATCAAAGCCCTGTTCCTCCTGTGTTGCGTGCAGGCCCCCCGGGACCCCCTGGTGGTTTGTTGGTGAAGAACGTGGCCGAGGCTTCAGTGGAGCTCAGGTGGAGTCGTGGCTACGATAACCACAGTCCCATCGGAAAATACATCATCATGGGCCGGTCCTCACTGTCATCAGAGTGGAAGAAGATGAGGACAGGTGTGTGTGTGTGTGTGTGTGTGTGTGTGTGTGTGTGTGTGTGTGGTGTGTGTGTGTGTGTGTGTGTGTGTGTGTGTGTGTGTGTGTGTGTGTGTGTGTGAGTGAGAGTGTGAGTGTGAGTGTGTGTGTGTGTGTGTGTGTGTGTGTGTGTGTGTGTGTGTGTGTGTGAGTGTGTGTGTGTGTGTGTGTGTGTGTGTGTGTGTGTGTGTGTGTGTGTGTGTGTGTGTGTGTGTGTGTGTGTGTGTGTGTGTGTGTGGCACTTGTGATCAATAGAAACATAATCCACAGAGTACTAAAACAAGACATTTCCACTCGTCTCCTCCTGCACAGACCCGGTGAACATCGAGGGGAACGCAGAGTCGGCTCGTGTGATTGGTCTGATGGCCTGGATGGATTATGAGTTCAAGGTCATCGCCAGCAACATCCTGGGCAGCGGAGAGGCCAGCGTGCCCTCACACACCATCCGCACCCAGCAAACAGGTGAGGGGCCACAGGTCGCATCGCACTGAAACCAATGGCAACCAGTGGAAGTCATTTTATATGTAACGTTTGCCCTGGACTTCACCACCCTAACCAAAGCCTGTTAAAAAGAGCACTGCCATAATGGCACTCCACTGGCAGTCCTGATACATAAACAGGTTTAGGAGTAACAGATTACATGTTACGAGATTACGTGATCAGGATACAAAAAAGGTAACTTTATTCCCTGACAGTTACATTAAAAACATGTAATCAGATTACTGTAGCTAGCAGGATTACAGTGTTAATTAGGGCTGTCAAGTTAACGGGCAAACGCAAACATTTTTTAACGCCACTAATTATTTTAACGTGCGATTAACGCATGTGTATTTGTCCTCGGCCCGCCCCGTAGTTTCAGAGCCCAAAGGCTTGACGTTGTTGTTGTTGTTGTTGTTGTTGTTGTTGTTGTTGTTGTTAGTTGGATGGTGGGAGATTCTAGCGAGAGATATGGATACAAGAAAAGGTGAACAGCAAGCCAAGCACACAGCTGATGCTGACAGCCCCGCTCCTGCCGCTCGCTGCGGAAGTCCGGGGAGACGTCTGACACAACAGGATAGGGGGGTGCTACGCTTAACACTGTGGAGACGGGGGCTCGTTAGATCTCGGATCGCGTGTCGACTGCACATCACAGCGCTTTATGTGACCCTCTGGAAATTGACTGTTATGAAGACGAAGGGGTTCGCCGACAACTGTAACAGGCTTGTTGGTTAGAGACAAGTGGCTGGCAGTTAGGAGAGATCAGACGAGAGAGAGAGAGCGCATGACGGAGAGCAAGTCGACTGAGGGCACATCACGAGACGCCAGGGCGAGGGGGGAATTGGTCCGAACCGGGAGCACCCTGGGACATTAGTTGACTGAGATGAGCTCAGGCAAGCCAGGAGAGAACCATCAGCACTGATTAAAAGACAGAGAAGCGAAGGGAATGACTGCCTACGAGACGACGACCCAACTTTACACCCACGACCGAGTGAAGGTGTTGACTGTTTGACCCCCGCAGAGTTCTCGACTCCTTGGTGTGCCTGCAGAGAGAGAAGAAGATGACCTAGAGAGAGGAGATCAGACAGAGAATGAGAGACGATGATCGCTAGAGGGATGAGAGAGAGAGATGAGATAGATGAGTATGATGGAGATGAGCAGCTGAAACGAGATAAGAGGAGTCATAAGAGGATAGAGATAAGAACCGATATCTGAGACAAGAACGACGACCTCACGGAATCGAAAAAGACGAAGAGAACGCCGATAGAGATTCGATAGCTGACGTAGAGAAGAGAGAGAGAGAGAGCTGATGAGAGACGAGAGAAGCAGTTGGAATGAGCGAGACTATCTGGCCGAGATAGAGTCGGAAGATGGGATCGTGAGAGAGAGACCGAGAACCAACAGAGGAGAAGGGGGGGACGAGTGATAGAGAGGGGGGAAGAGCTGAGAGACGATGAGAAAGAGGATGAGAGAGACGGTTTCAGGATGTGTTGAGACGTTGATAAGTAGTTCCAGGTGGGGGAGATAGGGAAATTTGTTCATTGTTCAAATGATAATAAACAAAAATTAGCATTACATAGCATATTTTGTCCACTCATGTTGATAAGAGTATTTACCAAAACTTGAAAAGATTTCTCTAAGGTACATTAGAACAGATACAAAATTTGGCGATTAATCGCGATTCAATATTGTTAAATCGACTGACAGCCCTAGTTTACAATACATTGTGAAATTAAGATCGATAATTTTCTTCATGGTTTATATCTACTTTAATTCTTCTTTATGTCAAATAAAATATTTGTTTGATGCAGTAGGTGGACACCTAATTTATTAAACAAAACTAGAGAGCATGGAAAGGTCTCGCCCGCGCTTCTGATCAGACCTGTCTCTTTCCCTGGTCAGTGCAACTTGCTGTTTTTGCATAAATACATTATGATGTAAAAATGTCACTCCACCACTATCTTATTTATTCAACTTCTTCTTTGTCAAAACCTGACGCCAAAATGACCCATAATGCAACAGTTTGGTCAGAGGCTTATTCTAGTGGTGACTTACAGTATATAGCCCTTAGAGTAAATGAGGAGGGGTAACACTCACATTACTCCCCCCATACTGATTCTGTCAGACAGAGGTAAGTCTCTCTTCACATGAAACATCGGAGACGGTTAGTGTGTGATGTGTGTGAGCAAACTGAAGGCACAGTATTGTTTGAATGTAAAATATGTATCTCCAGCCAGGGACTTCTTAGCCTCTGCTACTTTCCACTGACGTTACTCTCATATTGATTATATGGTGTCTCTCATCTTGTGGTCCTCAGCTCCCACAGTGGCCCCTAGTGGTCTTGGAGGAGGAGGAGGAGACCGCAGTGAACTCATTGTGACCTGGACGGTAAGAGAGAGGATTCTTACCTTGATTTGTCTTACTCAGACTGCTCAAATATATTTTTGGACAGAATTCTGGATTCCGTAATGGCCAGTGTAAACAGGAGAGAGTATGACATAATGCAACAGAGGAACCTTACTATTATTTGAAGGAAGAATAAGAATCAGTCCCTGAGAAAAGTGTGCTTGAAGGGTGTTGGATGGCTGGTCTTATTAATCTGTGCTGAACCTGCAGCCCATGGCCAGAGAGTACCAGAACGGGGACGGCTTTGGCTACATCCTGGAATTCAGGAGGAAAGACACGGCGGCCTGGACAGCGGTGCGTGTTCCTCACGTGGAGTCCTCCCGATACGTTTACTACAACGACAGCCTGACGCCGTACACCCCCTTCGAGGTGAAGGTCAAGGCGTATAACCGCAGAGGAGAGGGTCCCTTCAGCCAGATCGCGGTGGTCAACTCTGCAGAGGAGGGTGAGCCCATCCTGATACCCCTCCTACACTCTCCATTACAACACAATGTCTTCTTCTTATCTAATGATAACATTTACGTTAGTCCCTCTGTCAGGGGCCCTCGAGTAGTAAAGGCTTCAGTGCCTTGCCCATTCAGATTGACTGTGTTATGCAGGTTACTGCAAAGTCACAGTAATGGCATACATCAAGTATCTTTTAGGATTTTAGAAAGTAATAGAAAGTAATAGAAAGTAAGATTCTCTGTTGTATTTCTGGGAGTAAGTAAACTATGTAAAATGTGTAAAAGAAGATTTTAAAAATGGTGTTTCTGTAACTGCAGTATTTGCTGTCGCCACCAGAGGGCAACGAGTGCCTTCAGCACAGCGGCTGTAGTCGGCTCACTGAACTAAATAAAATATACCTGTCTGTCGTTCTGTACCTCTGTTCCCAATATATCAAGACTCAGTGAACACCATGAGGTATGTTGCATCCTCTGACCTCTCCCTGACCCCTCACAGAGCCCACAGTGGGGCCAGCCAACATCAACGCCTCGGCTCTGACTGCTTTTGAGATCCGGGTCTCCTGGGACCCCGTCCAGACGCTCAGCACCACCGGCATCCTGCGAGGATACGAGGTGACCGGCTGCAAATAAACACATCTGTTTGTCCAACTCCAAGGGAGAGAAAAGTGATACTCAGAATAGATTAGATGTACTCGAATGAAGTTTACAAAGCAATGCATATGACCTCAACATGTAATACAACAGGGTCAATAAACACAAACAGTAAATACATGCACATACACAGTAGAAACATAAATACTGATGCAGTATTTTAAGAATACACATCAAATATACAGTATACGAAATAATACACTGTAATAGATCAACTTACTACTAAAAAAGGACCATGTTGAACTGCTATATAAGATGGTTTATTTAATCACAGTCTTTTGACTTACTGTTAAACTTCAATCAATTATTACCTGTCTTCAATCCAACACCCTGCCATAGTTCAAGCCCACTTTATGAACTTTGACTGTTTTAGTGGCCAACATCTCAACAAACGTATCAGATTATGAATCTGCTGATAACACGACGACCTCATGAGGACGGCCACCAGAGCCTCAGACCCACAGAATGCAGAAAGAGAAATATTCATATATTGAATGCATCTTCTGCTGTCAATGTTTCTGAAGCAGTGTGTTTCCACTTAGACTTTATGAGTCTTTTAGACTACAGCACCATAAACAAGCAACATTCAAACAGGACAACACAACAACATTGCTTCCAGACAGTATGTGATCTAGGGTTCCTGTGTATTATGAATCTAATCAAGGTTCATAGAATGAGTGTTCTCCATAGTAATCTTCCTGTATACAAGTCGTTTCTTAGTCCTAACAGAAATACCAGTTTCTCCAACTCATGAATTTCTTTAATGATTTTAATCCAATGGCCGACTGTAGGAGGATCGGCTTGTAACCACTTACGAGTACTTTAAGCTTTTTGAACTGCCACAGTGAATATTTTCAGAAGGTATCCACCACTCTCTGTTATTTCCTCTAGTAGGTCACCCAAATAAAGGACTACACATGAGAAGGATCTCTAACCCCAATTTATGTTGCATGTGTCTCCAACTATCAATCCCAAATGTGGAGGTGACCTGCTTCGCCAGTCCCACAGCTTCTCCCTGAAGCAGAGTGTAATATCTTTCAGCTGAACTCAATAACCGGCCTCTGCAGGGTTCATATGCAATGTTTGAGCTTTGGTTGGTGGATGTGTGTGACCTCAGATCCGGTACTGGCGGCAGCATGAGCGTGAGGCGGCCGCTGACCGGGTGAGGACCGCAGGACTGGAGACCACCGCCCGAGTGCCCGGACTGAGACCCAGCACCCGTTACCACGTGGCCGTTCTGGCCTACAACAGTGCCGGCACAGGCCCAGCATCGCCCCGCACCACCGTCACCACCAGGAAACCACGTACGGCAGCACACATGCACACACACTCACACATGTGGAAACTAGTCAGTAAGGACAAATACAAGAATCTAAACAATTGAAAACATGAAACAGTGCGTACCAAATATCCCAAAACTCATGTCTGTCTTTCACATGAGTGTTAAGGGTTAAACTTGGACCATACTGAGGCTGCTTCCAACAAAGTATTCACCGTGGATATGGTGTTAGCTCAGATTAAAAAGCTAAACCATATCAGGCTGCTGATCATGATGTATCATGTTCGCCTTTCTTCAGACTAAATGAATTGAACTGTTTCTGCAGTGGCTCAGTCAGTAGGGGCTTGGACTGTGAGCTGTAGGGTTGCCGGTTCAAGTCCCAGAACAGACTTAAAAATGGAGTGTGGACTTCTACTTGGAGAGGTCCCAGTTCACCTCCTGCCCTGCCGTGGTGCCCTTGAGCAAGGCACCGGACACCTCCCTTCCCCCCCTCACTCCCATGTTCCCCAGGCGCTGTACAATAGCTGCCCACTGCTCCTAGTACTAGACTCCTGGTATTAGGATGGGTTAAAAACACATGTCACTGTGTGCTGTGTGCTCTGCATGTGTGACCATTAAAGAGGGTTTCATCCCTCCCATTCTATCTATTTGTCAAATATTTAATTATAGTCAACGTTTCAGTTTTTTAAGTGCAGTAGTTTAGTCATTATTTAGCCTCCATATACACAGATACAGTTACCAAAACACACACAGGAGTCCTCTCCTCCTCCCTGTCTAACACTGATACATGGAGGTTAAATGAACCCTGCAGTCTGCTGGCAGTGATGGATTGTCCCTCTCAGGAAGGAGAGCAGGTAACATCTGCAAACATCTGCAACCGGAGGATTAGACCTGATCTCTTTCAGAGCAGCCTCCACTCCTCTGGAGCCACGTCACATAGATCTGTCACAACAATCTCTACATATACCTATTCCAATATGTCTGGGTCTTAATGTACCTTTGCTAGTAAATAATATATCTATTCACAATTCAAATCTATTAAAAACTCACTCCAACATTTTACAGAGGACATAAATCAATGAACGCACACACACGCAAATACATACACACATGCACACATACACACATACACTTTACACACATACACACATACACACACACACAAACACACACATGCACACATACACACATACACACATACACACATGCACACATGCACACATGCACACATGCACACATGCACACATACACAAATACACACATACACACATGCACACATGCACACATGCACACATGCACACATACACACATACACACATGCACACATACACACATGCACACATACACACATTACATTACATTGCATTTAGCTGACGCTTTTATCCAAAGCGACTTACAATAAGTGCGTTCGACCAACAAGATACAACCTTGAAGAAAACAGAATCATTTAAGTACATCAGGTTTCATAGAGCAAAAACATTTCAAGTGCTACTCAACTGGCTTAAGGTAAGCCAGTCCTTTATTAGTATATAAGTGCTTTGTTAATAGTTCTATTGCTCGAAGTGGAGTCGAAAGAGATGAGTTTTCAGTCTGCGCCGGAAGATGTGTAAGCTTTCTGCTGTCCTGATGTCAATGGGGAGCTCATTCCACCATCTTGGAGCCAGGACAGCAAACCCACGTGTTTTTGCTGATGGGAACTTGGGTCCCCCTCGCAGTGCGGGTGCAGCGAGTCGTTTGGCTGATGCAGAGCGGAGTGCACGTGCTGGGGTGTACAGTTTAACCATGTCCTGGATGTAGGAAGGGCCAGATCCATTCGCAGCATGGTAAGCAAGTACCAGTGTCTTGAAGTGGATTCTAGCAGTTACCGGAAGCCAGTGAAGGGAGCGGAGGAGCGGCGTGGTGTGGGAGAATTTAGGAAGGTTGAAGACCAGACGAGCCGCTGCATTCTGGATGAGCTGCAGAGGTCGGATGGCACATGCAGGTAGACCAGCCAGGAGGGAGTTGCAGTAGTCTAGGCGTGAGATGACGAGAGCCTGGACCAGAACCTGCGTGGCTTTCTGAGTCAGCTGGGGACGTATCTTCCTGATGTTGTAAAGCGTGTATCTGCAGCAACGGGTTGTAGCAGTGATGTTTGCAGTGAAGGACAGGTTGTTATCTAGGATCACACCCAGATTCCTTGCAGTCTGAGTTGGGGAAACAACAGAGGTGCCGATGTTGATTGTCAGGTCAAGAGTGGGACAATCTTTTCCCGGAAGGAAAAGCAGTTCAGTCTTGTCAAGGTTGAGTTTGAGGTGATGAGCAGACATCCACTGAGAGATGTCAGCTAGACAAGCAGAGATGCGTGCGACGACCTGGGTCTCTGAGCGGGGAAAGGACATAATTAATTGGGTGTCGTCAGCGTAGCAGTGGTAAGAAAAACCATGCGGGCTAATGACAGATCCGAGCGAGTTTGTGTACAGGGAGAAGAGGAGGGGACCAAGAGCAGAGCCCTGAGGGACCCCTGTAGTTAATTGACAAGGGTCGGACTCGGCCCTCTCCAAGTCACCCTGTAGGTACGGTCTTTGAGGTATGAGGTGAGGAGGGAAAGTGCAGAGCCTGAAACTCCAAGTTCTTGGAGAGTGCGAAGGAGGATCTGATGATTCACATGCACACATACGCACATACGCACATGCACACATGCACACATGCACACATATACACATCCACACATACACACATGCACACACACATACACACATACACACACACACACACACACACATACACACACACACACCCATTGAAATGTTTATATATTTTGCTGCTACAGTCATTTAGCACTGAATTTCCAGAAGGTGATTGGATTTATGACAAAAATATTGAATGTAAAAGTCAAAAGCAGCCGAGACCAAGATACCAGTTTTTTTGTTATTAAAATCAATTTTGTACGTTTATTTATGAAATGTTTTACCATTTGTGATTGTTCTTCACACGACAGCCACAAACTAATATGTTTTATTTATTTATTTGTACAGCTCCTAATCGTCGTCCAGGCAACGTGTCATGGAAGACTGACAGCTCGTCTGTAACGCTGAGGTGGGATCATGTGAAGGCCATGCACAATGAGTCAGCTGTGCTGGGCTACAAAGTGAGTATGGTCCCCCTGAAGTGTGACTCATCACTCACACAGAATATGGACCTGAGAGACCGCAGTGAGACCTGACGTCCTTCAAACATATATATCTAGTTTAGTTTGAGTTTTATCATGCAACACATCATGCAGGATTTTTTTAATGTATGTCAGCTTATATTTTTTCCTTTTCTTGCTGGTTTTTATCTTATATGTTTTTTGTATGTATAGTTTCTTAATGTTTATGTGTGGAGAGCTGAGCATAAGAATGTCATTGTACAGTGCAACTGCCTGTTATACTGTACATATGACATGAATCTTGAGTGCCTAAATACTCAGGTTCACCTGGTAAAGTCAATCGACCATAAGTACGTTTGTACCAAGCCAGCAGGTCATCACTGCACTCATTGTACATTTCATAATTAGCTCTATTAACACAGGAAGTAGAAAAGTCAACATTTCATTTGAACTTGCTATCTCATTATGAAAACCTGTGCCTTGACATGGAACAAACCTCTGATGTATACTGTTTGCTAATGTACACATTAACACTATAAACCGCTTTAAACCGGAACATTCAGAGTGAGATCATTGTGTTTTGTATTTTGGAATGATGTAATATCATTCATAGTTCACACAAATGCAGCTGTAAGGATGACGGGATCATGAAGAGGTTCAATAATAATGACCCTCATGAAGTTTGTCTGATGTTGTGTCAGATCCTGATAAATGTAATCTCCCATCCAGCTCATGTGAGATAGGAGAAGTCATCATTTAGATACGCCTTGTCGCAGCTTTTGCAGCAGGTGATAGGAGATAAGCACTTTATCAATGGTGCTTTGATGTCTGAACAAACGGGCACATGCAGGATAGTTATCACTAAAAGCACGGTCAGCAGCTCTTGAATTCTGAGAATGTTTTTAAGCTAAGTGTAACATGAGTTTGAGTTTAACCTTGAGGTCTGAACTAACTTTGGCCCTGTGTGTGTCAGGTTCTGTACAAACATGAGGGCCAGACCTCTCTGAAGGTTCTGGACCAGAGCAAGACCTCCGTGAACCTGCCGCTGTCCGAAGACGACGGCGGCTACGTGGTGCTGGAGATCCGGTCCTGGGGGGAAGGGGGGGACGGCCCTGCACATGAGATTATCGTGTCCCGGGACTCAGGTGAGCATTAGAGACACTCTCAGAAGAGCTTCCTCTGAGGGTGTGAGTGAGTATACACAGAGGGGAAAAGGTCTTGAGTCCTTAAACTGGTAGAACCCTACTGAACGGAGCGTACAGAAACACTGTCTGTGGCACAGTACACACAAGCTTAATAATAATAATCATGAATCATGATATCCAGATCAAACACCCCTCTTAAGCCTCAGCATAGGAATTCCTTTATTTCACTATCTGTTATTCTACGCACGAAAAGTTTATTATTATTCCGCCGGTATTTTGCCGCGCTTCTCGTCCCGCATTGAACATCGCTCAACAAACTCCGTTCAAACATCAAAACGTTCAGCTCGGTCGGGAATCGATGGCTATTACTTTTCTCATTCATAACTTTCATAATTCCAGAGATACATCCCATAATTCATCACATTTTTAACATTGAAGTCAATGGAGGAAATCTTCAGACTTCAACAAATCTTCAAGCGACTTCAACTGCTAACTGTTCATTCATACTTTCACTCAGAAACCTCATTCCAACTTTAAAATGTTACACATCTTTCTGACATTATTCGTCTAAAAGAACTTTTAAATCTGATTCTTACTTTTAGAGACATTAAACATTGTTCAGACCTTGTTAAAGAGGTTTTCTTCAGATTTTAACATTAACTAGAGTGCGTGATGTCCAGTGGCGACTGGTCATTAGGGGCAGGTCCCAGTGTCAGCAGAAAATATTAAAAATAATGATTACAAAAAATGCAAAACAAAAATATATATATATTTTAAGATCATGTTTAATCATCTGATTCGTCTGTACATTGCTGTTTTAGTCTGTGTTCTTCTAATTAGTGTCTACAGTGTGTGCCTATTGAGCTGTTTAGAGCCATGTGGGACAAAACCTGATCATGCCCCTCCCTCTCACTGTCTAAGTCAATGGTGACTGTAAAAACTACACTGCGCATGCTCAAAATATTTTCCTATTTAATGTGTGTGGCAACAAAATAATGACCATAGGGGCATAGAGCTGCCATCCCCACCATACGTCATCTCACATAATTCAGAGCTGATTGGCTGTAAGTACGTGTGCCGCGAAAAGTGTGGTGTGTGAAGAGGAGGAGAGAGACGCATCCTAAAACCAGGAAGTAAGCTGAGCATGGCTTCCCTCGACAAAAAAGCAATGAGATTTCTCCATAGGATTTTAGAAAATAGCTCCAAATAAGATCTGTGGGAAACGTAGCTGTTAGATAAATGTACGTTTTGTTCAGCCGGATAATATCCACATGTCTACCCTACTTTTATAATTTCGAATCATAAATCTATTGATTAGATTAGATTTATGATAGACTTTTGAAACTACAAGAAGATAAGGAGGACTTTTACAAAAAAGTAATAGAGATGTTTGTCCAGAAGGATAGGCAAATGGACTTCATCTTCAAGTCAAGGTAAGACTGCAATTTTATTGAAAATGGGATCTTACTAAGAGAGAACAATTCAATATTAAATGATACAATTACATTTTTTGGGTATCCTTCTGTTGAACTGTCTGTTTAAGATTAATCGAAGCATCAGACAAAAAGAGCTTTTGAAAATAATATTATATTTTGATTTAGGTCAAAATATAATATTTGTAAACCTGAAGAGTCAGTGCCAGTGCCTCACCAGCCATGAACCTCACTGCAGAAGCTTATAGACATCTAAGTGTTTTGTGCCCCACCACTTTTGTACATATAGAAACGCCACTGGTGATGTCACAGCTAGAGGTTAGGAAATCTTCAAATTTGCCTTCATATTTTTTTTAAACTGCCATAATTCCCAAACCCTACATTCCTGAGACATACTTTTTCATGACAAACGTAGGAAAACATCTCGTAGCTTGAAAAATGACACATAATTAAGCAAAAAATAATTCAACAAAATGCTTCTTGAGGGCATGAAGTGACAAAAACGTTCAACATGCCTCCATTAAAGCCCATTGTAATTTCAGGCAGATATTTCCTCACGGTAGCAGCACACCTTTAGTTAAACTGCCAAAAGGCCACATTATTAACCCGAAACTACACAAAAATTACACTTCAGATACTCAAGTTCCTTGACATGCTTCACGTTTTGAAATTTCACAGATATCTGTTACAGTTCTTCCACAAAACGTTCACATGTAAGAGGTTCATCTCTCATTCAGAACAATGGAAACCTGTGATCTCTACAGAGCTCGTTAGTTCAAATATAAACACCTGTGTCATGGAACACGATGATGTCATCACTCCACCTGACATGACCAGGGGCCTCATGTATAACGCTGTGCGTAGGATTCACGTGGGAAGGTTGCTTACGTAGTAGAAATCCAAAAAATAGGTACATACATTTTCCGACATTTTCCGATTCACCAAACATTGCGTACCGGCGAGGAAAGTGCGTACAGCACTTCCTACGCCGGTTTCCCTTTATAAATCACAACCGACTCGAAATGCGGTGCAGCTTTTGCGGGCTTCACGTAACGCCCATATTTGCCTATAAATAGTCAAAGAAACGCCCATTCATTCATTCTGACTGACTTTATGAAGAAGATCGCAGGAAATGACGACAGAACAGCTAAAAAAGACATCTCACACCGTGTCAGATTTAGGTTATTTTGGGGAGGTCGAGATAAATCATATTGTTTGGTGGATGCCGTTTGAACCAGAGCAGCAGCATGGAGGACGGATCGTCACCAAAATAAATAAATAAATGGTCCGAAAAAGTCAGTAGTAATAAAACACTGTTTTCTCATAACTTCAGTGAAAATTCTCCAAACAACCCAAAACTTCACAGGTTTGGTAACGATGCAGCCATCTAAGCATATTATGGGATGTCATCAAATGCCGTTGCCATGGCGACAGATCATTCGCCATCAAGTTAGTTCAGAAGTTTGCAGTTCAAATATTCTGCTGCTTCTCCAAGCCTTTTCACTTTCTTTTCTTCTCTCATCACACATTCAAGCCCACGGTGTTCATGTATCTTTTCAATCTAAATTATTCACTTTCTTCTTACACATTACATTTCAGCATAGCAGTTTAGCGTCAGATTTCCAGCATAAAGCATTCCCACTAGCAATTTCTTCAGGAATTGCATTCTCTAGTTCTCTGCAGTGGTTTTATGCTAGTGTACTGACTTCTTATGTAACACTATTATGTAATATGATGGTGAATGATCTTCAGATATTAAAGACAACAGTTTGCTTTGATTGGTGACCAGTGGTGTAAAGTCACTTAGTATATTTACTCAAGTACTGTACCATTTTGAGAGACCTGTACTTTACTTGAGTATTTACATTTTTTACAACTTTGTACTTCTACTACTCCACTAAAATTCAGAGGTTAAGCGTGTAGCGGTACTTTTCCTCCACTAAATGTATTTAATACCTTTAGTTACTTCACAGATGTGGATGAATGATGTGAAATATAATTAAGTGTTGAATCAGACTTTAGTTCCACCTGGAGTAAATCCACCAGCTACCCTGCAGTATACAAAGTCATTCAAACTAGCTGCACCTTTACCAGCTTTGAGAACACTTTCATGATCAATCATTATAAAACATATCATAGATATTATTCTGAATTTAGCCAATTTGCACAGCGTTTGGTACTTTCACTATATTTTGATGATAATACTTTTCTACTTTCACTTGAGGAACATTTTGAATGTAGGACTTTAACTGTAACAGAGTATTCCTACACTCTGGTACTTCTACTGTTCAATCTGCACATTGGAAATAAAAGTCTGACATGATGATGAAAGTGAAGTTAGAAGTAAACTGATGTAATGGGAAGACATCTAATGAGACTTGAGGGTTGTAGGCAGTGCTTCAACAGGAAGTAAGCATAGAAACAGAAGAGCTATTCATCCAAGGCCGTGTTATCATCCAGATAGGAGCATTAGGAGATCTATGATGTTGATCATAAACATGTCAGCAGTATCTGGAAAGGGGCAGTGAGAGTTTATCATGCTCATGTTCCTTGGTGATAGAAGACCTTGGATGACTAAAGAAGGTCAAAAGGAGCACATATGTTTCTGATAGAATACTTTGTAGATTATTTACACTTTCCTGCAGAACCCCTTTTTGGAAATGGAAATGTTGTCAAACAAACAAAAGCATGAACCATTTATGTGGACCTACCTTACCAGACATCTGATGCCACCTTTTGCTTTTTGATTTTTTTTATACCACCAGTTACAAACAGACAGGGACATATTTGAAGCTGAAGATGTACTGATACTGGAAATATGAATATATCAACCTGTTAAACTGCCCCTTGCCCTCTGCCCCTCACAGGAACTGGTATGATGGTGCAGAACGATGCCCCCCCCACCCTGCCCCGTCTCCCTCTCCTCCTGCTCAGCGGCTCGGTTCTTCTCACTCTTGTGTCGTTGTCCGGCCTGTGATCTCAGCCAATCAGGGACTGTTTCCTTTTGATGGCTTGAAACTAAAGCTCAGTCTGTGCTTTGGGGGGGGGGGAGGGGGGGGGGGGGGGTGGTTTCTGGTAGAAGAGTAAGGTACTGAAGGGATTGGAGGGCTGGGGGAGAAAGGAGTGGTTTCAGTATTCTTCTTTTTTTTTTAAATAGGAGTGTGTGTGTTGACCGGGTTGTGGGTGTGAGTGTGTTTCTGTGTTCCGGTGTCAGTCAGACCATGCCTTACCATCACATCTGGGGCTGACCCGTCTCTTACACCTGTCCTCCAAAGTGTAGCCGGAGAGACACAGGTGTAAATGGTTCATGAATAATGTGTATACCTGTACATAGAGACAGTGTGATGCTGCCTGTTCACACTGAGAGCAGCTCCGTACAGCAGGCTCTGCTCTCCCCGGCTGAGTGTGAGAGCAGCTCTGCATCTCAAAGACTAAGCTCCTCACTGATTGTTAGGGAGGAGGACGTGCTACTGGGCCCTGAATAAAAACACAACTGCACATTTGAAACGATTTTCAGTCTTGGATAATCCCCTTGACAACGACAGAATCATCAAGTTGGTGTGGAACGTTTTTTGATTAAAACAGGAAACAGGAAACTAAAATACATGACTTTCATAACAATAAAACAATTATTTAAATACTTCTGGATTTATTAACGTAATGTGCTTTTTTTTGTACAGAAAATGAAACCGTTATTCACATAAATAAACCTCAGAAGCCAATTAGTAACCAAACATACTAAATGAGATTTGTACATTTATCACTGAACAAGATCACAAAATCCTGAGGGACCTTTTTTTCATTTGCTGACTAAAACACAGCGACCTAAGAGCTAACACAGCCCACACTGGGCACACTTTCAAAACATTGATATGGGGGTGTGTGAGTTTAGTGGATGGACGTCCCCACAGCTGTCAGAGAGCAGCTGTTTGACCCGCCTTCCTGCTGGTTGCTCTCAGTGTGAACACAGACAGGCATTGAAGCACTGAAGAACTTTTTACTGTTGGTTTTCAGCTCCTGCTAATGTCTGTATGCTTATTTGTGTTTTGTCTCAGCTGTAATTATAGCAAGCTACAGAAATATGTCAACTGTCCAAATGAATGTTTACATTTTTCTATGTGTTATCTCTCATTTTGGGGGAAGCTCATTTGGATGGTTGAAGGGAGCTTTCATGTCCTGTTTGATTATTTGTGCCTGCATTGTTTTTGAATGATTCTGACGACAATGTGCCACGCTCTGTGAAGTGTGTGTTGGGTTTTGTGCAGGAAACAGTGTCATACATCCTGCTCATTGTAATCCTGTCAGCTCTATCAGCACTTGTCTGGTTCACTACAGTTTACAGGAAGGATGTGTGTGTAGGGTTCCTCTGTACACACCTGTCTGTTCAGCATGTCAAAGACAGGTTTAAACATTTCTGTCTCCTGCTGTTGCCTTAATGTTTTGGTTGATTGATCAGAACTGTCTAAACTGTTTGCTGTCAACAGTCGAATACTCATTGGTTGAATGGTTACAGGTTTAGAGTGTCGTCAACCAGAATATACAGTTCTTGTTTTCTGTACTTTCTGCCAAAAACACACTCTGTCTTTAAATGATGTATTCTATAATACCCATATGTTCAGAAGCTCAGTCCATCTCAAATCTTTACGAAGTCTGCACTGAAGAACCTGAAACGTTGACTTGAATTAAATGTATTATGTCAACAGATTACGTTTAAATAAAACATATTAGGTTTAACTTAATATTATTGCTTTCAACTAACCTAATACAGTTATGTGAAATCTGTAGACATAATACATTTAATTAAGGTTCATGTTTAATTTGTGAGCCCTATGGTTCCCTTACTGACCTTTAGCTGCATCCCATGTGTTCCAGTGGCCATTAGCTCAAGCTCTATTCACTAATGGCGCATTTCCACCGCAGGCCTCGCTCGACTTAGTACGGTTTTGTTAGGCCTTGTTAGGCCCGGCTCACTTTAATGCTGCGTATCCATTACAGTTTAGTAGCTGGGGCAGTAACTATAGTAACGCAGTGTAGGTGGAGCCGTGACGTCATCTTCAATGCGAAACACAAAACCAGCATCAGCCGTTAGCTGTTAGCACTCAGAGCTCACAGCTCCTCATATCTGTTCATAAACTAGACAAAAGTTAAACAAGTACAAACCACAGACTGCCTGTGTCATGGTGAATACAGTCGCTGGTTTATTTATGTCTGTATAGGCCGTTGTTGTGAGTGTGGACGGTCGGAGCATATATAACGTTAGCTTAGCCAAGCTCCATTTAGAAAACACGCATTTTAAAGGGGTGTTTCGCCTGCCGTCTGTCTGCAGACTTGTCAAAGCATTAATTCATGGTTTGTACTAACCGGTATCAGTATGTTGTTACTTCGGCATCATTTTGAAACGTGTATTACAATTAATTCACGGTCAAATATGTTCATCTTGTTGTAGTTGTAGCCCCCTTGCCAGCGATTCTTATAGTTTAGCATACTCAGCCTGACTCAGCCTGGTTGTTGCCCCGATAGAACCACAATTTTGTCGGGCCAGAAAAAAGGTGAAAAATTAGCCCCGGGCCGGAACTAGGCCAAGTGGAAACGCAACCAAAAACGGGCCCGGCACGGCACGCTTAAACCGCCCCCCGCGCCATGGTGGAAATGCGCCATTAGACTGATGTTGAGAGGTCTGGAAGAAGCGGTGAGTGTTTCAGGGTGAAGGCTGCAGAACCAAAGCACCAGTTGGTGAATCTCAGGATGGACCCTAATGTACAGATTCTCAAGCTGCTCTGCATCGCTGTTCTCACTCTCTTTAAATACCAGCATCATTGTTAGAACCTGCTCTGATTTCAAATGAGAAGGTTCTCTTTAACCCATTAACTCTGGATGGGAAATGAAAGGAACTTCCATCTTGTGTATGTCCTTTATGTGTTACCTCAGTATTACATGTTATGTTTGCAAGTGGTCAATGACAGACTACTTGATTGATGTGCTTTATTTTGTCAGGAAAATGTCATTTTTTAAACATGTTTCATACTTTTGCTCCTACAAGATCATTTAATTTATATTAGTTTAGATACAGGACACTCCAAATACACTTTGTAGACTTTTAACTGTAGACAGCCATCATTATTATTGCAAAACTCAGGTTTAAATCTGGATTAGACCAATGTATGTGTGTGCTGATATTTGGTCCACCTCTGGGCCTACAATCTGGTCTGAATATGTATTCTGGGTTTGCTGGCAGCTACAGTTGGTCCTCCTTGGAACCCTGCATGGTCTCACCCAGGATTAAACCCCACCCTTGCCCCTCATGCTGAGTCTCAGCTGCTCCCTCTGCTTCGGCTCAGGTGTCTGAGAACCTGTGAATGATGTCCTGTTTTCTGTGTGTTTGTGTTTAACTCTGTACAAAGTGTTTTCACCATGCCTTTAGTATTCAGTGAAGAGCCATAGAGTCATTCACCATGTCGGGGGGCGCTCTCTGGATGTTGGACGGAGGGTCTCTCACTCACTGTCGGTGGCTGAGTGCACTGGATATTGTTGCCTTTGGGCCTTTTCACAATTGTGATTGAAAGAAAATGTGAGGGAGGGGGGGTACTTGTAAATAAGATGTCAAATAAACACCTTGGGATTGTACTTGAGTAACTTGTGTATTTACTACGTTCACAGTTGTTGTGTTACGGTATGTAACCGGTAAGCTTGAAGGCACCTCTTAAGGAGGCCCATACCACAGAACAACAACAACGAGTAACAAATAACTATTTTCATGTTAGTGACCCACTCAAGTCACACCAGTTGAATATTATCTTGGGAAAGAAAAATGTGTTCAATAACACAGATTAGAGAGGAGTCAATATTTACAGCTGAAGGTCAAATGAAAATACATATTTGATGGGGCTTAAATTCAATGAAGTAAAATTATACAGAATGTATTATACAACTGACTCGTTAATACTCACATCTCTTGTTGGCTGTGGATCACAGTCCATTTCAAATGACCAACTGACTGAACACCTTATTGTTTAAAATGGTGTGTGTGTGTGTTTGAATAAGTTACACTAAAGCTAATTGATATTCCCCAAAGCCTCATCGGTTGCACTCTATCCCAGAAACCCTGTCCACACACTGAACCAAACCCAGAGCACTCAGTCTGGGTTGGTGATTGCTTTGATAGCTTAAAAGATGCAATGCAGAATAAATATGACACAGCTTTGGAGATGGCAGACAATGTGGTGGAAGTTCCCCTCTGCTTACAGTCTGGTATTAAACTAGGTTGAACCTGGATCTCTTCTATTCCAAAAACCGAACACTGATAACAGACGGCAAACAAAGACTGTCCTGACCCAGGACTTGCACACAGGAAACAGACCCGATCCCAGCAGGAAGGTGCAAGATCCACTTCCTGTGCGGGTTCATTTACTACATTAACCATTCCGTTATTAGTGATGATTATTACCTTTAACGTATTCTTGTAAATGTACACTGATTGCACCTTTCACCCCTGTAGCTGAGATGAAGGAATGTACTGATAGCTCATTTCCCAGCAGGTCTCTTTCTTACATGTCCTTCCTGGAAGTGGGGAAATGATGTATATGAGACAACCTGTGCCTTATCAGCTGCACTTTGCTACCATGCAGCTATTAGTTATTAATGAGTAAATTATAAATATCTGACCTGAGTCCATCGAGCTGTAGACTCTGCTTCGGTTTCTCTCGACGAAAGGTAACGACTATCAGCTGCCTAATATGCAAATGAAAAATATGCGATTTTCTAAAAAGTGTTACTGCAATTATTATTATTAGCTGAAGCAGGATTTGATGAAATATCAAATAGAATGTTTAGCATATACAATTGGATAGATGTTGAAATGTCTGTAAAGTTGCCAGGAGTTAACATACTTATTGTTTCTAGCAGGGGCTGCATGGTATTTGTATTTGATCATCATCTTAATGTTGTATGATCCTCACAGGTTCGCTGCTGCAGAAGAACACTGACTGGATCGAAATGAGACTCCTCACAGGTAAACACCATCCACTTCTTTCATTTCTTATGTGAAATACCAGTTATGTCGCACTGACCCTCACATACAGTACAGAATACCAAGATGGCAATAACTCTAAGAAACATATTGTTTACATTATGTAAATCTCCTGATATCAATCATTCACTCTCACATTCACTGACCTGAGGCATGCACATTCAACTTAGTACACAATTAAAACATGTAAACACTACACCAAACAGTTTGAACATTAAGCAACACAAATCTAATTTGATAGTTATTTCTTTGTACCATCATCAATTCATGTATCTGTGTTATGAATGTGTCCGTGCTCTCTGTTTTTAATATGCAATAATTGTAGTATTTATTTAAGCAATATTCAAAGTTAAAATCTTGCAAAAATATGATATTAAGAATTACAATTAAATGGGTCACATAACACAATAGGATGTTAGATTTGCACTCTCAGTAACAAAGACATTGAATAGTCGGATGTTGTTCAAAATGACCTGTGGAATATATTTATTATTTTTCTTGCAGGTACTTTAGTTGTTGTTTTGCACCCATTTTGTTCATGAATTAAAAGCGATGTATTTACTCTATACCTCCCATGCCTCTAACCCCAGTGTCCTCTTCCTGTTCTCTGTGTTCCTGCAGCTCTGGGCGCCCTGCTCGTACTGCACACCGGTAAGCATTAGTTCAGTACAGGCAGAGACTTTTCTTCACAGTTTGATCAAAGTTTCAGAACAAACACAGATGCAATCAACTCACCCCCCGTCTCCCCTCAGCCACCTCCAGCAGGCTGGTGTGTCACATGACCAACTGGGCCCAGTACAGGCCCAGCAACGGCAAATTCACCTCGGACAACATCGACCCCTTCCTGTGCACGCACGTCATCTACGCCCTGTCCACCATCAACAGCTTCAACCAGATCACCCCCATCGAGTGGAACGACGAGCAGCAGTTCACCGGCCTCAACCGGCTCAAGAATGTGTGAGTAGACATGTGAGGGGGGAAAGGTCTGAGGATCAGGAGGGCACTGAATCACTGCAGTCAGCTCAGGGCCAGACTCTTCACCCCAAACTGCTCCTGTGGGGAGCATGTAAGTCGCTTTGGTTAAAGCATCTATCAAGTGATATGTAATGTCTTTTAATAATCTTTTTCAAGCCAAAGCAAGACAGACAATTGGATGGGTAGAAACCATTTTATAACCAGGGGTGCACATCACTTTTTTGCCCTGGTTCTCAAAGGAGCACCTGGAGATGTTGCTTGGTGCTCATCCTTAAAGTGAAATAAACCGTAACTTTTGAGAGGGGTCTTGACTTTATTTGCCAGACACACGGCACTGAACACACATGCAGAGGTGAACACAGAACACACATGCAGAGGTGAACACAGAACACACTTGCAGAGGTGAACACAGAACACACATGCAGAGGCGAACACAAGACAACATTAGCACGACCAGTAATCCTACAAGCTGTCATCACTACCCTCCTGACTGTTCTCCTCACTGTCTTCCTCTCTGTCAGACATGGTAGCTGATTATGTAGGCCTACTTCTTTCTCTCTGGTTGAGTCTGTGATTAGCTGCTTGCATCCACAAGTCAACAGCTGGGTTTGGATCGAAAGTCTCTGTCATCTTACCAGTTATGTGCAGCCCTGTTTATAACAATATTTAGACCAGAACGTTTTCCGCCTGGAATGCTCTTCTGTTCATTCAAAGCCAGCCATATCCTGGATCAGCTGAAATCTTTTAATGGATGTGTAGCAAGTCCAGCAATGATCTCAGGACTCTGTATAACGTTGAAGCGACTGAATAAACAGTTTACAAATGAGATGTTGTAGTAAGTGTGATGTGTTCAAAAGGAACCGTAAACCAATAACCAAAAATACACTCCTAGCTACAATACACATGTTATTGCAATATTACATCTGATAGATTCAACTAGTCAAGTTGTGAATGTTTCTATCATCAATATAACTTTGCCCTCTCTCTGCTGTTAGTAATCCTGTGCTGAAGACCCTGCTGTCAGTGGGAGGCACCGTCAATGGAATCAGCCCGTAAGTGCAAATATGACCCTATTCTTCCAAAATGTCCTGGATATTCAGAAGGTTGGAGTTGGACACCTCCTCGGCTGCTGTGTCACCAGAATGTAAATTGCAGCATCGTTTTATACATCCCAACAGATTCATCGCCATGGTTGCCAAGATTGAGAGCCGTGCAACTTTCATCAAGTCTGTCATCAGTTACCTGCGCACCAACAACTTTGACGGGCTGAACCTGGCCTGGGAGTACCCGGGACACAAGGGCAGCGAGGAGCAGGACAAGGAGAGGTTCACCCTGCTGGTGTCGGTGAGCATGTGATACTGTTCATCATTCACTGTGTGGTACATTTGGCCTTTGGTCTCACTCTAAGAGGTCATTCTCTTCCATCAGAGGGAACATTATGAATTGTATGCAGCTTATAGCTCCATACTAGCGGCCCTATTCTGCTTTTTGGGGTTTCCCTCTCTGGTAGTGTGTTCTATAGGTTTTTGTGCATGTCAATGGCCTGCAAAGACTAAAATCCCTGTGTTCCCTCCATAGGGAGTTTTGTCTCCCACACAAACTGCCCCCCTACCTTCACCAACACATTGTACATGATATGCTAAGCGGCGTTACATCTATGAACTGTTGACCAATCACAACAGAGCCGGCCAGCTAACCAATCAGTGCAGACTGGGCTCTGGTTTCAGACAGAGGGTGAAAATAGGTGCTGCAGCACAGACAGTATCATGCTATCATCATGCTATCTTTAGGCAATAGCATAGGTCTCAGATATATACAAATATATAAAAAACATGCCTATGAAGTGTTAGCCATGCCTCATATCCCTCTATTTCACTTCCTGTTTCTAAAGTGCTGATTCTGGGTATAAAGCTTTTAAAAATAAAAATAATTGATTAAAAATAAAAGAGGATGGGTCTGAGCTCATGCGGGACCCGGCAGCTACTGTCTAAACTAAATGCTGCCGTGATGAAACGCCATATCATGGATTATCAAGGATTCTCTCTGAAACAGTTTGGAGCTCAAAGGCTTTCTCTCTTGCCGGTTATACCACAAGGTGAGTTCCTTTGTATTTCCTGCTTCTTCACACACATGCTCTCCAGTACAGGTTAGCTCTGAGTGTTAGCGATGCTAATGTAAACACCGACCATAGTACGTTTCTGATTGGGCCGTGGGTCCACATTTCAGATATTACGTCATATCGGACGCAAATCTGGATCAGCTCCGTTGTTCCCCGTTTTTAGAGATTTGGGTTCGGAGGAAAAGAGAGAGGGTTTTATTTTCTGACGCTGCGTGAGTGTCCTGACACACCGGGGACACATAGTTATGTATACAAGACATCAAAAGGGCATTTTGCATGATAGGTCCCCTTTAAAGCATGGAGACATGTCACAGTAGAGACACTACATACTGATATACACCTGAAGATGAGCACAATATGTCCTCTTTTGAGTAAATTATAAATATGATTGAGTTTTGAGTTATTTTAAACCTCCTTACAAACTAATGAACATGATAACAAGACTTGTGTAGTGGCTGTGTGAAGCGCTACATGGACACAGTGGATGTGAAGCTAAAGGCTAAGGTTCATGATGTTAACAATCACTGACACTAAGTGGTTAAAATGTATTCACCATCATAGTTAAGCATTTTAGCATTCTAACATGTACTAATTAACACAGGTAATAGCTGAACCTAATGGGAATGTTTGCATGTCTCTGGTCATAAACCTAAGTAACAACTTGAGTATCTTGAGTTTTTGAGGCGTTGTAGTGTATACCAGAATGGATACCTGAGCATCCGACTGATATCCCTATCAAAGAGACACACCGCTAGCAAGGCTAAAATCATGGTACATGGAATACAAGTTGTACACCTCTTTCATGCATTCGTTTTGGAGTGTCTAAACAACAAATAGATGATAGAAATGTCTTCATGTACACCTGTGGTGCTGCAGTAGACGATGTGTATCTGAGGTTCTATTGGTTCTGCCTGCAGGAGCTGGCCAAGGCCTTTGAGGACGATGCTAGGGAGAACAGGAAGACCCCGCTGCTGCTGACGGCCAACGTGGCTGCCTTCAGGCCCAACATCGACCGAGCCTACGAGGTCCAGAAGATCGCACTGTGAGTTTCACTTCAATGGAGTTTAGAAATGTATAGTATCCTCAATAGTTCTGTTTGGATATCTGGAGCAGAACACTTTCTGGGGGGGTTTGGTTTGGAATAGAAATATGAGAAGAATTGAACAGGAGACTAGTATTCACTGATAGGGAGGACATTGATCATTGGACTTGTATCTGTTTATAGAAATAATTGACTCTTTATTCACTGAAACGGATACATTGACTTTAATTAAATGTATTATGTCAACAGATTTCTCATAACTGTATTAGGTTAGTTGAGAGCAATCATTTCAAGTTAAAATAAAGAAGATTAGGTTCAACTTAATATTATTTCTTGCAGTTGTGTGAAATTGCTTGACATCATATATTTATTTAAGTCAATATTTCAGTTTTTTCAGTGCTGTTAAACAAAATACTCTTCATGCTCTTTCAACTATGTCCTTCCCCAACTGTAAAACTCCTTCTACTTCTGATTTTTAAATCAACAGTCACCTTGACTTCATCAATGTCATGACCTATGACTACCACGGGCACTGGGAGGCAGTGACCGGACAAAACAGCCCCCTGTACGGCAGCTCCATGGACTCCGGCACACACATTCATCACAACATCGTAAGAAACACACAAAGACGCATAACAGACAGACAGCTGCACTCTACACATACTCTGTGATATTATTCTCTCCGTTGGTTTGGCTGGACTTTTGTCGTAAAATGGTCCAAAATGCAGTTGAAGAGGTTTTATCTGACTTATAAGAACTACATTTAAGGTGTATATGCTTAATAGGATTACACAAAGCCTTTTCCACTTGTGACAATGAGCCTTGCTATAATGTAAAGCATGTTAAAGACAGAGCACCATGAGCGTTTATTTAGACGCGCTCCCAGATTGGCTCTGATTTGGTCTCCACCCAATCCTGAGGAAGACATCTGCCTTTCTAGCTGCTATACTTTTGACTTTAATAAGGAGCTGAATCATCACTGTGGATATCTACTGTTGGACAAGAAATACTGAACACTTCTCATTCCAGGGAGTAGTCTGGTCCAATGTTGATATGAATACTTTGAGTTGAGTTTCCTGCTGAATTATTGATCTCCTCTGTCCTTTGTGTTAGAACGCTTCCATATCTCATTGGCTGGTGAAAGGGGCCCCAGCTGAGAAGCTGCTGTTGGGTTTCCCCACCTACGGACGCACCTACCGTCTGAGCACCGGGGCCACCGGCCTGGGGGCCCCGTCCAACGGCCCCGCAGACGCCGGACCCTACACTCGCACCGCCGGATTCTGGTCCTCCTACGAGGTACTGCCCATCCTAAACTCAGCTTTAACCTCTGACAGGAGATTCACCAGGAGCAGAACACACTCATTCCTGCCTTCGTCCATTTAGCTGCTCAACACTATATAATGTAATATAGTTGTAAATGTTGGCCATGAGGGTAGAACAGTAGGTCACCATTGTCAGAAGTTGTGTCAAAGGCAAAGTCAACTTTATTGTCAACCTTTCTGTTTGTGTGATAAAGAAAGGGAGATCAAAATGCTGTTTCTCACAGATGAGGATGAATATATGACAACAGTACATTCTGTGTGTATGTGCAAGCTGTGTATATGTACATAAGTCATTTGTTAATATTTGATTGTCTTTTATCGTGTACTAAGTAGAATATATAATTTGTATCTTCGTTGGAACTCCAGGACAGAGTTCAGAGAAAATGTCCTTACGTGGACAATAAAGTAGATTGTCTCCTAATGTTAGTCGACTATGTGCTGAAAGTCAATATGTTCCCATTCAGGAATGAATTAATGAAATGTCAAATATCACTCAATAGAAGGCAATCAAGCCTCATTTCCATATATCTGTAATCTACTGTTGGTATACATACTGGTATATCCCTCAAATGAGGAGGAACTAACACTCATGCTCCACCGTAACAACATGACTGTGGTCCCTTATGTACAAATACATAGAATCAGAATGATAAATGTTTTCAGTACAGATGGTAATCTCTGTCCTTATGTTTATGTATTACCAGATCTGTGCCTTCACCCCCGGTGCTAATGTTGAGTGGATCTCTGAGCAGCAGGTCCCCTATGCCACCTATGGCAGTGCCTGGCTGGGCTACGACAACAAGCGCAGCTTCTCTTCCAAGGTAACTCATTATTACCCATTATGTCCTGCAGTTCTGAACTCATTGGGGAAAATGAATGATAAATGTTCTTGTGAAGTATTTGCGTTATATAGTGAAGGGTTTGTGGAGGAGAGTTAACAACTGACCCTCAAACTAGTAGAACTTCTATTACACTGAAAAAACTAAAACGTTGACTTTAATTAAATGTATTATGTCAACTAATTTCACGTAACTGTATTAGGTTAGTTGAAATAAATTATATTATATTATATTCCAATATTATTTTTATTATTTGACTTAATATTATTGCTTTCAACTGACCTAATACAGTTTTGTGAAATCAGTTGACATTATACATTTAATTAAAGTCAACGGTTCAGTTTTTTCTGGGCACTTACTTCCTTGTCTGTTTGCTGGACCTGTATCTGAGTTTAATGTTCTCTGTTACTGATGCGGTGGTCCTGTAGGTCCAGTACATGACTGCCAAAAACCTGGGGGGGGCTCATGTGTGGACTCTGGACATGGATGACTTCAGTGGATCCTTCTGCTCAGACGGAGCTTACCCTCTCATCAACCACCTCAGGGTGTCAATGGGTAAATACTGAAGCTCCTCCCACTCAAAGCCATATCCATCACTGTGAAGGTTTAATATTTAAAAAAACGCCTTCGGATAAAAAAGTATAATGTGAACAATTGTATGCCTCAGATGATCGTTTGCACATGTGCCTTACAGCTTACAGATCACAGTGTACAAAAACATGAAGTCCCTGTATCTGGAAGTGAACTATAGTATTTACTCTATGATCCAAACAACCTGTCAAGATCTAGAAATGGTTTTACACTAATTTCCACACCTGAAACACCACAATACAAACTAAAGTGGAAACTGTTTAGGCAGAAGGTTAAGTTACTTGAAAATGTATAAAATATAAAATACACAACAGTGGGGGCAGTGCATGACCCTCAGGGTTCCACCAAACTGAAGCTGCTGACTGACATTATATTGCACGTTGTTCAATGTCTTTAAATATTTCCACGGTAAGTACACAAGTGTTTGACGCCCCTGGTTTATGACATTTCTTTCCGATTTTGCAGGTTTCCCCTCAAAGCCCACCACCACCCCGGCCCCCGCCACCACCAGAGACCCTATTGCAGAATTCTGCCGTGGACGTCCTGATGGCCTGTATGAGAACCCCACTAATGAGAAGACTTACTTCCAGTGCTTCCAGGGGTACACGTACCTGCAACACTGCCAGGTCGGCCTCATCTACTGGGACTCCTGCAAGTGCTGCAGCTATCCCTGAGCACCCCCCCCCCACACACACACACACACACACACACACACACACTCACACACACACACACACACACCGAGCACACTGCTTTTTCAACAAATAAATCAATCATCATTATGACCTGATACATGGCTCATTGACTTTTATTCTTGCGTTTTACAAGATAATCTGACATTTTTCTATATTATATAAACATTTCATTTCAAATTTCAATAATAAATAATTGTTATACTCTGCTTCCTGACACTTATATCAGTCAAGCTATTTTCAAGTAAAGGTTCAAATTCCATTACTCTACAAAACACACTCAGCTGTTTTCTGTCTCTCGGTGAACCTATTAATAATGAGCTGGCTATAAATAAAGTGTGTATTCTAGAATGAAATCCATCGTTGTGAAGTTTTGTGAAATGAATACTCAGTGTTTTGAGTGTATTTCTTCCTGGGTAGAATTGTATAAAATGTCTCAAATGATTCTAGCCTATCTTCAGACAAATTCAACTTCCACCCAGAAGTGAGCAGACAGTCTGAACCACAGGCAGCAGACATCTCTAAAGCTTCACTCATCCACAGATCCACAGACAGTCGGCTGACTCCTCAGCGAACGTGCTGTAGACAATGTGTGATCCTGGGTCACTTAGTAAATGTCCCGGTCCAGTCAATCAAAGTTGAGAACATTTTCTAACAAATCTTAGTTCATAAAAAAAGCCCATTAACTTATTAACAAAACAAGCTTGAAATATAACCTTCCTATTTCCCCTTTTTATAAGCAGTCTAAGGTTTCTGTTTTAAGGAATGAGCTTTTATAACAAAATATGGAGAGCTGTGATGAAGGCTGTTCTTTTTTCATAAAGGGTCCCAGCCCTTTGTATGTTTTTCTGCATGTGGCCCTCAGTGAGAAATGTTTGGACACCCTGCTCCATACTGTTGTTCAGTAACTCGTGCTCTATACCCCATAATATAAGCAAAGCCCAGCTGTGTTTGATGTGTTGTTGAAACAAAGCACAGTTCTTCTCTGGATTCTGAACGTTCCGGTAAGCTCCTCTCACAGCCTCACAGAGTCCTGTTTGGTCAGTGTGTTGAACTGCATGTGTCATGGGGGGGTATCTGTCGCTAGATGGTGTAGCTGTTCTCTGTTAGACACTTTAGTGGGTCAATTTATAAATGTCCCAGTTTCACATTGTCCCTCATGTCCTCGGCTGCTGTGTAAAGATAAAAACATTTGAAAAAGGATACTAAGTTAAGTTTATTTAGCTCTTTTGTTAAGGCTCTTAAGTTATTAAAGGTAAATAATGCAAAAAATAATATGTTTGTTGATTTTCTATAACTTAATGCTTGAGAACATAATGTATTGTAAGCTGTTATATTAGTTTGTTTGAAAAAGAGCACAATAAACCTTTGTTTGGTTCGCTTTTCTTCACTTTGATGCTGAGGTATTAGCAATGAATAAGCATGAATAAGCTTTGGTCGTCTTCACTCGTTTAACACTTAATATAAAGACACGGAGAAAAGTACAAATCTCACAATGTAATTCATTTATAAAAAATCAATAGTACCTTATGTGATACAAATCTAACATTTTGAAGAGGTTTAAAGTGTTATCCTGTATTGGTCATTTAGAATGGGACTTCAAGATACCTATGGACAACACAACTCAGAGAGAACATCTATAAAGTCTAATCATTCTTGGGCAAATGCAGCCTAAAGCTTGAACAACACATATTCCTATGAGTTTAAATAAAAAATGTGAAAACATTTCACTACAGAATGATATAGAAAATACAAACACTCGTTGTTATGTATGTTAACAAACAGTTGCTTGGCCAAGTTTTGACAAATGAAGGTTTACAGAAATACTGTTGTGTTAAGTTCATTTTGTTCCTGGGAGACGCTTCATGCCCCCTTAGAATGTTGACAGTGTATATTTATGCTGAGATGTACGACCAGTAGTGGTGAAAAGGAATCTAACTTTGATACAACCAACATTAATATCTAGGCCGTCTCCGATACCGAGCTCCGGTGCTGATAAGGCTCTGGTGCTGATAAGGCTCCGGTGAACGGCCGTCCAATCTTTTTAGGACTAAACCCCCCAGAATCTACACGATCAACGTAATCTGCTCAGGGGGGCGCTTACAGCGTGGCTCTAACACCACGCTGCCCGTCGTATCCCTATTTTAGGCACTCCAGCCACGGATGTCCGACCGCTAGGATAGCAAAAACGGAGTGTATAGTGTAGTAGGGGTTGGTGGGCTGGTAGAACCCCAGAGCAGTATCAAAACTGCCCCTGGAGGGGAAACCCTGTGTCGTTGGGAGACCCCTTGGTAATTAGGGCAGCTTCAGGACCCACAATCCCTAACCCCCAACTTTGATCCCCAGTTATACCAATCAAAACAATGCAAAAGTAATTTCAAACACAGCCAGAGTCAAATATGAATATCACAGCAGTGACATCACCCCATCAGCATAGCATATGTCATATTTCAACATCAATCAAAACCACATCAACCACAGTGACCAATGTGAAACTATAGTTTAACTTAAACAGGGTTTCTATTCCCCTTAAACAATTTGAAATCCAAATCATCAACTAATGTCAGCCTTTTCCAAGGAAGGGTGTTCTTACCTCACTCTGAGACCAAGCAGATACCTTCAGAGACAACGAGAGCGACCAGGAGTTGGGTCAAAATGTACAAAGTACAAACCGGTTTTATTAAGGTTTTAACAAAAATAAAGGATTACAAGAATCCTTAAAAAATAACAAAGACACCAAGTCAAAATACAAAAGGTTCACAACTCAAATGTCCTAAAAAGCCGTCTAAAAGAGCCCAGGGCTTGGGCCTCAGAAAACTTCCCCTAAGCTCTCAAGCCTCTAAGCCTTCAAGCCTCCAAGCTCTCAAGCCTTCAAGCTCTCAAGCTCTCAAGCTCTCAAGCCTCCAAGCCTCCAAGCCTTCTTGCTTATCTTTCTTACAGTGCAGACGCTTTTCTGCTTGCTCTTGCCTCTGCTTACTTTTTATGCTGATTTTCCTATTCTTATTCTCTGAAAACTTCGAGCAGCGGCTCCTGGACATTAACTTATCACTGGGACAGTTCATCTTCGTAAATAGACGGAGGGTTTCAGCCATATTTCAACATTTTTACGACGACGTCAGTCTTACAATAGCGTGGCCTAGCAACAGCTAAAGCCTGGTAGGCTACTGCTATTTAGCTTAAGCTAGTTGGTAGCAAAATGCCTCCGTTCTCTACAGATGACTTCCAGAAACTTATAGAGAAGATGGCTGTATTGGAAATGAAAATGCAACGGTTGGAAGTTAACGTGGAAGTGAATGGACTATGTCGTGGGAATGACACGACTTTACCAGTGTTGCAAAGTAATGGAGAAGGGTATGCTAACTCACAGCTAGTTAGCAGCTACAAAGATTCCAAGGAACAGGAGGGCTGTGTACCGGGTAATAAATCTACAAGTGGTAGTCCTCCCTGGAACTCTCTGGGTGCAAAGCCTAAGAGTAAATCACTTCCATGGGATTTGGGAGGACGGATAACAGGCAGAGCCCAGAGCTCCGAAATCTGTGATGCGACCGGCTGGCCTGCATTGTTATCACCCAGGAAGAGCGCCTCTTCAACCCCTATTCATACTAGGAAACAGCCGTGGACAGCTGCTAAAGGGAGAATTACAAACAATCCTAAACCACCAAGTGTGCCAATCCAGAACAGATACGCTCCGCTGACCGAGAACCGGAGATCTGATGACCTGGATAACCTGTCCTCTTCACGCAGCAGGGTAAGGACCAATAGCTACTCTAAAAGTAAAAGGCTAGAGGGAAAGCTAACGACTGGGCCTGAAACTCTGATTGTGGGTGACTCTGCTGTAAGAGATGTAAAAGGTCTGTGTAATAAGAACAACACCAAAGTACTCTGTTTTCCCAAGGATGTGGTCTCTGACTTGGCTGAGAAGATCCTGCATATTGGGGCTGAACATCCGACTGTGAAGAATGTGGTACTGCACATTGGAACAAATGATGTTGTGAAACAACAGTCAGAAGTGCTGAAAGAAGACTTTAAATGTTTGTTGGAAACTGCCAGCTCTCTAAATGCAGAGGTGTTCATCAGTGGCCCTCTACCGCCAGTCAGAAGAGGAGTGGAGAGATTCAGCAGATTGTTTGCACTGAACACCTGGCTTTCAACGGCCTGTACTGACCATTCTGTTCATTTTATTGACAATTTTAACTTTTTCTGGGATCGCAGACATCTTTTCAAGGCAAATGGAGTTTGCCTGAACAAGTCAGGAGTGAAATTGTTTATCTCTAACATATTCAACTGCCTGCGTCATCAATCTGTTCCCTCTGCCAAGGACAAGCGGCAGGAGGAATCAAAACACGAGAAAGACACAACACATCACGCAGAAAACCCTGAAGAATTATCACTGCACCCGCCTGAGGAATGTTCTGATTATGGGAGACATATGAGACACATGGAGGAGTCTCCACTGCCCCCCCCCCCCTGTCAACGCCTTTGAGGATACTCCGTTCACCCTTTCACCCTCGCCCACCCTCCTGGAGATCGATGAACACACAAAGGAGATACAGAGGGTTGGCACCGATTCCTTCCTGGAGTTCAAAGACCAAACGAAGGCGATACGCAGGGCTGGCACCATGTCCTTTACCCCCGCTCCTCAACGACGCCCACCAAAATCACCGCGGAGACGCGCACCATCTCCCCCGTCCTCATCACCGCGCCTACGTCAACCACCTCCCCCCCCTGGCAGTATGTCCTCTACCCCCGCACCATCTAGCCCGTCTCCATCACCGTGCCTACGTCGACCACCTCCCCTCCCTTCGAGGGGGCTTCTGCAGTCTCCGAAGCCTGATAAGGATGTGTGTGTACAAAACACAACAAACTCTTACTGATATGTGATGGGTCCAGGCTCAAGGGCGTATGGCACTCTCAACTCTTTCAAGGACATGTCGGGGCCCTGCCTGCCAGTAGCTTTGCCGATATCTGTGTTGATAGGTAATAGATTAAGAGCGGTGAATCATAGAAACAGGAAGCGCTCAAACGTTTGTGTGAGTGTATCTAATTTAGCAGTGATTCCATGTCAGCCACAGCTTGTTACAAAAAACATGACTGATAGTGTGTTTAACAAACTTAAACTAGCTTTATTAAATGTCAGGTCTTTGGCAGGAAAAACATTTTTAATCAATGATTTTATCACTGAGCACAATCTCGATTTTATGTTTTTAACAGAAACTTGGATTGAACAAAATAACAGTGCAGCTGTTCTTATCGAATCAACCCCTCCCAACTTTAGTTTTATGAGTCAGGAAAGAATGCATAAGAAAGGGGGTGGAGTTGCTATTCTGTTCAATGATGCCCTTCAATGCAGGAAGAC